GGTTTTTATTCTTACTGGTGTAGATTCTGCATCATCAATGTCTATAATTGGATTTCACTATTTTAAAATTTAGATACCATCTTAAAGCATTAGATGAGCGTAAAATTATTCTCCTTGCTTGTAATCTTTCCACTCCAAAATTGCATTCCGAAAACGCACCCTCTTTGCAGGTTAAAGTCTAGTTGTACTGGATCTCCAAAATCTTTTAGCTCCTTTCTGCCATGTAAGTTTTGATATCTTTTGGTTTGGGTAGCGGTAGGGAATGGGGCTGCCAAAGAGAGAGGGAGGCTGGAAAGGAAGATTGTAGAACAGTAAAATTCCTTCCATCCTCTCCACTCCCAAATTGGAGGTTATTTGAAATCAGTACTGCCTTTTACCATTTCATTCGCAGCAGTTGGCAGTTTTTATATCCCAGAGAACATTTCTTGGTCAGTGGAGGGCACAGGTAACAGAGGATCTGTAATAGCTGACTTCCTGAAATTGGAAGAGCAGGAAAGCAGGTTACTAGCAGGCAGTTGAGCAGTTCAAACCACATCAGCCTCAGTTTTGTGATCTAAAATATATGTATTGCAAGGCTGTTTAGTACTCTGCTTCTCTTTTTTTGAATATATTTTAATTTGTATAGATTTCTGAAGTTTAAAAACAGACCGTCCTTAAGATATGGAGGCTTTTTCTGAACATGTTTCCTGAATGAAGAGGAAAATGTGTCACCAAATATAAGAAGGGATCTAGTATTTTAAAAATAGCTGTACTCAGAGAACTATTTATTTCTTAGTTGACTGATTAAAATGGAAATAATGCTTAGCTAATGAGGATAAAAACTTTAAACCTTACTAACTTTTAAGTTTGCTCCAGGGACTTTGCTTATCCTGTAACAACATATTCATGATAGTTTTTATATGAGCCCAGGGATATATTTTGACACAGATATATGACCAAGAAGATCTATTTTCTGCTTAATCAAACGAAAATAATCTTCTAATGCTGTGTTAGGATCTGGCCCATGGCATGAATGAGAAAGTGGTATCGCTAAATGTCACAATATTGATTGCAATTATTACCTTTAAGAAAGGGTCATATAAGACGTCTTGGGCTCTGTAAACTCAGTGGTGTGAATGGTTCTTGATGGGATTAGTGATAAAGATGTCAAGACAGCAAGAGCTATGAGATGATGTGTTGTGCTTACAAGGCACTGTTAGACAAAAGAATTTTGAAGTAGTCTGATAGTAACTGTTGCAGAGGACTAGCAGTTCCTTTTTTGGGTAGAATACAGTATGGAAGAAAGGATGTGATTGTTCATTCTTTCATGTTTTGGATGTAAAGAGAGGATTGGCATTTGGTTTTGAGGAAGATTCAGTAAACTTGAAGACAAATGCTTTGCATACCTTCGTAGTATGGCAGAAAAAGAAACTATTCTAGGAATATAAGGAGAACTAGAGCTTTCTGATATGCAGAAAACTGTTATGTGTATGACGATGTGTTTATGATTGAGTTAATCTCAACTTAAAATTTTGAAGTTGTCAGTAAGAATTGAATTAAATATTCCTAAATAAAAGCAAGAAGGAAAAATGGCAATGATTAAATTTCTTAAGAGTTTTGTGGTTCTTTTAGATAACCTCAATCTCGCTAACACTCAGTCTCTAAGGCATGTAGCTAGGACTTTATATCAGCCTTGGCAAGCTTCAGTCATACAGACTGTACTTCCTGCAGCACAAACTGTCTTTAAAAGTGATTAAGAACAGTCAAGTAATTGAAGAACAGTTTTAAAACACAGTCTTAATGAAGTCTGACAGTAGACAAGAGTTTCTTTCATAGTGCCCTGCTGTTTAATTCCCTACAAAATGAGGCTCTGCTGACATTGCTGCAGACAAACATGTGCTGGGGCTCTTGTGTGGCTGCAGAGCAGCGGTTCCAGCAGGATGCTGCGAGGGAGCCGTGTGGTGTCAGACCAACGGCGTGGACTGAGGCTGTGCAGAGGATAGTGCAGAGGGCAGTGCTGAAAATGGGAGTAGATCTGCTCTGAGTTTCTGTGTAGGTGCAACCCTGAGAGCCTCGTCTGGTTTTGCTAATTCAGCTACATAACTTTGGAATATGTTGTCGGAGTCTCTCTCTTCATAACTACAGAGAATCCCAGCTGTCTTGCAGGTAGTAAAATGATTTCTGTAGTCTCAGTGTAGTACTTTTACTGGCAGTTGGTAGAAGCAGCTTAATAAACTGCGTAAGCAATTGGCATGCAGTGCAAACTTCAGTTTTACTCTCTGAATCTTAAAAGCATTAGATGTTTCTTCCAATTTAATATCTGCATAATGGATATGGATGGCAGGATATGCTCCTGCCAGGCAGCTCTCAGCAGCCTTTAACAGGCTAGCATAGACTTCCAGAGCAATGGTGTTTTTCCACCCACGTTATCCATCTTGTGCCAAATATGCCGAGCCTCAGTTTTTGCACAGGGCACTGGTAAGAGTTGTGCTTCGGGCCTGTGTCTCCCCAGCTCTGCGGGTCATGATTCGGGCCCAGGGGTGGAACAGGCGGCATGTGAATGCAATGTGACACACCTTGCTCCTGCTCCTGAACTCAATGGCTCTTGCCCTGCTGTAGCAGTATGGCAGAGGAGTCCTCCAGCCTGCCTCTCCCTCTTCCTTTTTTTCTTTTTCATCCTTTTACCAATGTTCCTCCCGTTGTAAAGAACAAGATGGAAATTCATTCTTGGACTATTGCTCCTGATTTTCTCCAGTGAGGGAATCAGTAGAAGAGCACCATTATCCCTGAATTTCATACAGGCAGCTGTGGAAGACAAAAACTCCCTTCCTGTTCATGCCAGGTATGGTAATTCTTCAGCCTCCTGTGCAGTGTATTTGCAGTCCATTTTTTGGCAGGTATTCTATAGGCATGTTACATTATTTCCTCTCCTACTTTGATGCCTTCTCCACTCCTTCCCCTAGGGTTACTCTCTGGAAATGTTTTCTGAGCTCTTGTGTCTGCTGACATGGCACTTTGATTTGCAGGTTAACATGGTTGATCTTTTCAGAAAGCAATTTTAAATGGTTGTTCAGTTATTACATATATGAATGAGCTGATAGACACAGGCCATTTAAAACTATGTAAAGTATCTGAATTAGGAAAATGCTTCCTACACTCCTATTATTTTCTTCTTGTTCTGGAAGGGAACAAACAATTTTCAGCTTTTAGGCTTTGACAGCTTTTAGCACTTCACTGGATGCAGTGTAAGATAGTTCTGTCATGCTGCTGTCCATTACCAACTCCCTCAATTTTCAGTGAGGTTGGACCTGTGTTTCTCTTGTCAGAGCTGAGCATGCATCCTCAGCCAGGGCTGTGGGTGTTGGAGAAGGCAGGCAGTCCTTCTTGTGTACCTGTGAGTTGCTGAATTCAGTCTTTTGCTAAAAGGTCAATCGTGAGCTCACACACTTCAACCTTATGAAACAACAGTGGGGTTTTTGTTTCTTGTGCTTTTTATTTGGCTTTTTAAAGTTCCAGTTCTCAAATCTGTTGATTTGGGAACCTACCCCTTTTGTTATCTTCTTCTGGGCTCAAGGTACACCCTCAGTGATTGAAGCATCATGCAGTTTTAGCTCATCATAACTAAGAGACCGTAAGTCTAGAGTATGTCACAAACAATGCACAGAACAGATACTTTGTTAGCTCAGAATGTTGTCATTTTGTGGAAATAAAATTTGAGGAAAAGTATTTTTCCAGTTAGTTGTATTTACGATACTCCCAACAAGCTGGATTTTTATGTTTTTATCTCCATCTCTGTTTTGTACCATGTCTTAATAATAATGCTTCTAAACAAAACAAACCAAAATCAAAACATTTGGTATTATCAAAATGGTTGTTTGTTTGTTTGTTTTTAGTTTTCCTTTCCATATAAGTGCAACTGCATGGGGCAACCCACTGTTGGCACCTGGCTCTGGTAGAGGTTTCCTAACCATTTCTGTTTCCACTAGAGCTTTCTCAGTTGAGCCTGTATCACATCTCTTGACTTCATTGTCCTCTTTTGAAGCCAACTTTGTTGTGTATTTGCTTTACAGTGTGCATATGCTCTTGATCAAGAGGGCTTAGGTATATAGCTAAATGTTTTTAAAGCTGTCCTAACTTGGGGTGGTTGGAATGTAGGAAAGAATGTCCATTTTTGGTTATGCCTGCAAAAGGTAAAAAAAGCCTCACGGTGTTTTCACTCTTGTCCACACTAAAGTAAAATATGAATATAAATTGTGATTCCTTATTATGCGTGTGGCAACGTGTATCTGAGGCTGCAGGTCACCTCACCTGGCCTGCTCCTAAATCTTGTTACTGTCTAAAGATACACAATGGCTACCAGGAGAAGAAACTTCTTTTTAAAATAATTTCAAACCTTAATGGAAGCTATATTGTAACAGGAAGCTTTTAAGCTGGGAGAAATAGATCTAGGCCATTTCCTTCCCATGTAGGTAGCCCTCTCTGATTCTTTTTCGGGTGACGACATTATTGAACAGAATGACCACACATCCATGCCCTTCCTGTTTCCCACTTTGCACTCCAACTGGCTGTCTGTCCACTCACTTTGGTACAAAATGGTATGCCCATTGCCTTGAAGTCAGCTGTGAGGCTTCAACCCAAAGTACATTATTGTCACTGTTTAGGAGTGGTGCATGTTTGAAGGAATCAGAAAATTTGGAATCTGAATGCTAACATGTCTCATGTAAATATAGGTTAATGAGCTTTTGCAGTGGTTTGTGAATAGGCTGAATTTTGGTGGGTGGGTTTCTGCAGGGACAGCGAGGTCACCCTGCTGGGCTGCTGTACTCCTCTGTGGCCTATTTTGCACCGTGCCTATTAGATAACACCAATATTCAAAATTCCACAAAGAGAAATCCCACTAAGCTTTTGAGCAGTTCTTTATTTACATTAAATAAATGTATATTTAGGTGCTATTATTTTCTCTAATATGTGCAGCTAAATAACTGTCATCATTTCTGTTTATGTTTTTGTTTATCTGGTAGAAAAGAGTGGTGGAACAGCTTCGAAAGAATTTGATAGTGAAGCAGGAACAGCCAGACAGTAAGTTTCAAATACAGCCATTGGCCCAGTCAGAAAACAAACTACAGACACCACAGCCGCAACCACTACAACAGCTACAGCAGCATCACCATCAACAGCAGCAGCAGTCCACTGCACCCTCTCCAAACGTGATAGGATCACAGGTAAAAAGCCTTGATAATTCTTTTCCTTGCTAACAGTGAAGTTCACTGAAAATTAAAAAAAAGGGAAAAGTGCGGAGAGAAAACTACAAACTTTCACTTACACTTGTTAGTGTACCAATATGAATTTCTTCTTCTATGCATATGCAGATATGGGTCTTGTGGGGTTTTTCTGCAATAACCTCCTGAGTCAAAAGAATTATGTTGTATTAAGAAGTTGAATCATAATTTCACAGAAAGAAGGGTGGCAGTATCACCTTCCTTAAATAAGTGAAAGTTTAGTAAATGAACCTGTCTTTTCCACAGTTGTATGAATGATTGTCTAACCATACCCAGTAGGTACACACTGTATGAGGCGTATGACTAAAATCCTTTATTTTTAAAAGATGAACAGAATGCCCACTGGATCTGTGAACAAAATGTAAGAAAACAGTTCCCTCTTCTTTCTGCTTGTTTTTTTCTTTTTAAACAGATGTAACTCGTATCAAATAATAATTACCTGAATTTTCAAGGATTTGTCTGAGAATGTAAATTGTTAATTGAATAGTTTAAGTTTTAGAAAGTAGTGTCTTTATTGGGAAGGTAAAGTAAATTTCAGTATAATCTAGGATGAGAGACATAATCCCATAACTCTAAAGAGAAGGTGGTCTGCTGTCATTGAGAGGGAATTTTCAAGTTTCTCCGGTTCAAATATTTAAAATCCCAAAAATGTGCTAATAAAATAGCTAGAAATTGCAGGGAGGTGTTCTGTAAAAGGAAGTGTATCTGAGATCTTCTTTTCTTGTTGATGCAATCTTAGGAGTTCATGTTTACTGGGATAGGCAGATGGCAGAATTCACCCGTGAAGTTTACTTTATGCACATTGCATTGAATCACACCCACAGCTTTCACCGGTTGGGATTCTCATTTTCCCTTTTCCTGAAAGCAGAGGAGGGAGAAATGGTTGGACTGTTAGTTCTCTCTTTAACTCAGCAAGTTGGTTTGGATGCACTCTAAAATGTATTTGTGAGGCTTAGCTAGTTGTATTTTTGAGAAAAGAATATTGAAGAAATGAGGCAAATTTAACTTAAGGTAAATGCATTTCTGATCAGCAACAGCAATATCTAAAGCTAAAACACAACAAAGAAGTAAATATTACCGTGTTCTGAAGTATTTCTAGGCAAACAACAGATCAGTCTTAGCTGTATCACTGATCTCTGTTTTTCAGTCAGGAAACATGGCAGCAAATGCAGTTTCATGTGTTTCTCTGTATTCCACACTTTGCATTCATGCATTAACTTCCAGGTCATCTCCTGGGTTGTAAAATTTAAGTTAAAGAGCCCTCTAGCGAAACAGTCCAAAAACTGCTGCATCCTTCTGACTACCATTGGTACAGTAGTACTTGGAAAGTAATTAAAAACTGAAAGGCAGGTTGTCCTGTCACTTGGACAAATAAGCCAGTTTTTATTCTTAACACTTTTATATTTTTATTTATATTGGTAAAATTCTGAAGTACCCTCACTAGTTTCTGCACACATTTTGCATCTAAGGTTGTGCCTCTGTCTTGTTGCCTCTCAATCTCTTTCAGCAAAGAAAGGTCAAAGATTTTGTCTCTCTAGAGAGTTTTTTGGTGCCTACTTTTGTAGATAACACATTTTTCAGGGCTATATCAGCAAAGAGAATGCTTTCAATTATTATTTTCAAAGTAATCAGATTTAGAAATCAATATATGCCACCTTAACAGTGACATTTCAATATACTTAATATAGTCCAGTAAGAAGGGCTTTTAAAATTTTCATAAAGCAACAAGCCTGCTAAGAGGTCATATTATTGCAATATTATGTGAAATAATGCAGGCTTACTGTGAATGTCACATCAGTAGGAATTCATGCATTGACTACTTTTTAGAATAACCGAGGTAATTAATGCTCAGCAAAGTAACAGGGATATTCAAGTTCTGTGATCTTCTGACTGGAACTATACTCTGAGGTATATATACTATACTATACTATACTATACTATACTTAGAGATTTAATAGAACCCCTTGAAAGAGTCAGTCTTGTATCACATGATTGATTACACCTTTCTTTAAAATGTTTATGGTTGAATGTAATGCTTCTGAAAATGATGCCATGTTACATCTCATTCTTGAATAATGTTACTGCATTATAGGAATAGAGCCTCTTGCTTTGGAGAAGGTGCAACAGAGGTCAATAAGAAGCCCTTAGATCTCAGATAAAAAGTTAAGGGAGTTGTTCATGTTGCAGCAAGGAAAAATTAATTATGTCTGGATTTTTAATAAATGTATAAAACACATTATCCTTTAATTTTGCATTATACAGTGATTTTTTCCATACTTGGGCATAATTTACGGGATGTAGTTTAAGCATTATGAAATTAGAGGTGTGAAGGTAAACTGTGGGTTTTTTTAAGGAAACAATATTGGTGAAAATACTGAGGAATCCAACTGGAAATATATTGTTTTATTAGAAAGAAGAGAATGGTCTTGTATGATTAAAATCAAGCAGTCTAAATCAGGCACGTTCAGAACACGAATAAGACTGCCTGATCCCTGGTTTTCCAATGTTTCCTCTGTCGAGCCTAATCATAGAATCATAGAATCAGCTGGGTTGGAAGGGACCTCCGAGATCATCAAGTCCAACCCTTGATCCACTACCACCATGGTTACTAGACCATGGCACTAAGTGGCACATCCAGTCTTATCTTAAAAACCTCCAGAGATGGAGAATCCACCACTTCCCTGGGCAGCCCATTCCAGTGCCTGATTACCCTCTCTGTAAAGAATTTCTTCCTAATGTCTAACCTAAACCTTCCCCTGGCACAGCTTAAGACCACGCCGTCTTGTCTTGCTGGTGGTTGCCTGGGAAAAGAGACCAACCCCCACCTGGCTACAACCTCCTTTCAGGGAGTTGTAGAGAGTGATGAGGTCTCCCCTGAGCCTCCTCTTCTCCAGGCTGAACAGCCCCAGCTCCCTCAGCCTCTCCTCATAGGACTTGTGCTCAAGTCCCTTCACCAGCTGACATCAGGAGAGAATGGTGATTACTTAGTACTAAGAGCATTTGATCATGCCAATAACTGTTTTGAAGATGCAGTGCCAATGGAGTTTTACACCAAAGAGAAAGGAAATGAGATCACTTGCCATTCTGTTGAGTGTCACTTGTCATGAGTTTTCGGTTCGCATTGTGTTCTGGTTTTATATGGAGACTCTCACCTTGTTGCTTTTTGAATGAGATTCATAATGTCTGTTTTCCTTAGCGTCTTAGAAGACAGTACATTTTAAAACAAAATTATGAAATAATAGTTGTTTTAACTTTGGAATTTATGGGCATAATGTATTCAGGCATTTCAGATAAACGTGATTCAAACCCACTCTTTTTAAAACAGGCCAAGAGCAGTCTCGGTGTCACATATATGTTCTAAAACTAGCCCGTTCCACAGAAGTTAAGCTTAATTGCCTGCAGGTGGACAGACTAACAGACAACTCTTACAACTTCAGGACAGCTCTACCAACACTCTTAGAAAAGAAGGTTCAGTGCTAGATAACCGTATGTATGGCTAAAACTGAGATTGGAATGCCCAAAATAAAAAGATATTTTTGTTTTTAAAGAAACCAACTTATGAATGTTTTTCCTCTCTTCCTCTGATTATGAGGATCACTGTAACTAAAGTTTCCATTTGAAAATTAGAGTTCTACTCGATGAGAAGCTGATTTGCTTGTATGTTCCATAAACTTCCACCTTATAGGTTTGATATTGACAGTGAATGTTTGGAAGTAATATGAAACTAAAAGATCCAAAATGCATATGCCACTAACACTTAACTGTAATTTTCTCAGGAATTTGTTTTGATCAATCTGCATTGCTACAGATGATTAAACCAGACCAAACAGGTTTGCCTCAAATGAGAATGCTTTCTTGCTATCCAGTTTTCGGAGGTATAAGATAATGTCCTTGTCAGAACAGCAGGTAGATAGGCTCAGTGCTGCCTTTTCTTTCTCACACTGTCTATTGTTTCTGACTAACCAACCCACGTCCTGTCTGATACGGAGTGTCTCTGTCTCTTACAGTGTATTTTCTGTTTCCCTTAGAAAACTGTAACTACAGCTTCTATGATCACCACTAAGACACTACCTCTCGTCTTGAAAGCAGCAACTGCGACCATGCCTGCCTCTGTTGTGGGTCAGAGACCTACCATTGCCATGGTTACTGCTATCAACAACAATCAGAAAGCAGTCCTCAGCACTGATGCGCAGAATGCACCAGTCAACCTCCAGACAACAAATAAGGTCACTGGGCCAGGAGCTGAGGCAGTCCAAATAGTGACAAAAAACACAGTAACTTTGGTAAGCGTTTCATGTGTTTGCCCTGCAGATATGTGTGGGTTTGGTTAACAAGAGGACTATTGGAAAAAAAATAAACAGTCAGGTTTTTGCACAGAAAGGAGGACAGTAGGGACGTTATGAGTCTTCACTAGTTAACATTGTTAAAATGATAGCCTACAAGAAAAAAATTTACTCTCCACGTTGGAGAGTTTTGTTTGGGAGAATACTGGTTTACCTTATAGAATTAAATCAGTGCTATCATCACCTGTGTAAAGTTTGCCCTGTTAGTAATTTTTATTCATGGGGCAGCAGTGATTGCTTTGTCCTTATCTAATCTATGTGGCTACGTTCTGCAAAATTCCTACTCTTCTCTTTGGTAAAGTAGATGTCAGACTTTCTGACAGATCAGTTTGGGTTTATATCCTAATTTTTTTTGAGTCAATCTTGCTCTGGAAACCGGGCATTGTGTAGCATCATGACGGGGAAATTTTACTTCTGAAGTAAGGGCTATGGCTTCACTAAACATAAATCCAATTTATCCTTACTAAAAAATACAGTTTAATAATGAAAATGGAAGTAATTTTGCTTCCTAATGAGGCATATGTTTGTGATCAGAATAGAGAAGACTATTTGAGTGGAGTTTTTTCTACTGTTCTTTTCTTTTCCTATGTCATCCCTTGCACCACTCTCATCTGTCCTTTGTGTCTATGCTTCATTTCTTTGCTGAATAACTCACTTAGGTTTGAGGAAGTGATTCTGTTTTAATAATAGTTCATGATCTATGTTTCTGTAGCAAATTTCATCAGAAATACCAGAATATTTTCTCAAGCATTAATTAATCATTACAAGACCTTTTTGAAGAAAATTGTAATCTTATGTGGGTGGACAGAAGTACAGATGGGTGTAAACTAGCATGGACATTAATTTCAGAGAATCTCCCCAGGTACTCAGGGTAGCTTGTCGTGCTGTTCAGTGGTTAATCACGTGGCAGCTCCATGCAGCTGATTTCAGTTAGACAGGGAAGTATTTAGGATTCCTTAATATCATATCTTAATTGCTTCAAAAGAATGGCCTACAACTGAAAATGTCAAGTTGTGTATTTAGAGCCCCTCATAGTCCCATTAATATTACCAAAAGAATTGTAACTTCCAGATCTTTACTATGTGAATGAGATGCTCTCTTATTCTTGTTTGCCATGCACTGTGAAAGGACCCTGGTTTATATAGCTGAACAAAGCTGAATAAAGTCTGTTACCATTTCCTGTCTGTTGTAAAGTCGATTTTTAATGATTAAAACAAATAGGAGTTTTTATTATCTTCAAATGAAATGGTTGTAGATTGCAAAGCACGGTACAGTTGAACTAAAAGGAAAGATGCCTGCAATTTATGAAGCAAGGTGTGTAGGAACTAGAACATAAGATTAGCTCTGTCTTTAATACATTCCTAATGAGAACCTGTTTATAGAGTAGAAAACCAAGGACATCAGGTCTGAAAATACATTCAGGACGTTGATTTTGGTGAACAACTTCAAAGCTAACTTCCTCTTACTGAACTGTCTTATGTTCTTATAGCAGGTTCAGGCTACGCCTCAACCCATAAAAGTGCCGCAGTTCATCCCTCCTCCCAGACTTACTCCTCGTCCAAATTTTCTTCCGCAGGTGAGTATACAGAAAACAAACAATAGAAGAAAGAAATTATAGCATAGATAGAAGATACTTTTGACCAACACTGTGTCAGTGTTTATTGCTGATCTGCTGGAGGTTTGGGGATGATGCCAAATTGGAGGATGCAATACTCTTGAGGGCAGTGCTCACATTTGGAGAGCCCTCGACAGGACAGAGGAATGGGCAGCAGGAATCTCTTGAGCTTCAGCATGGAAAAAGGCAAAGTCTTGTGCCTGGAATGGACTAAGCCCCTGCACAGGTACAGGCTGGGGACTGACTGGCTGGGGAGCAGCACAGCTTAAAAGGTCTTGGTTGGCAGTAGCTAAACTAGTGGCGTGCCCTAACAGTAAAGAAGCCTAGCAGCATACTGGGCTGTAACAGCAGGACCACAGCCAGTCGATTAAGGGATGAGATTATCCACCTTTCTTTAGTAATCATAAAACTATCTCTGATGAACAGCATGCAGTCTTGGAACCCCTGGTTGATAAATTTGATTGAAGCATGGGAAGGAAGCTGGGGGGACAGTAATATAGGAGCTGTAAAGGGGGGCTGAGGGATTTGGGCTTGTCCATTTTAGGGAAGAGACTTTGGAGGCACCCTAACAGCAGCATTGTTTCCAATATCAATAAGGAGATAAACCAGAAGATGGAGACATAGGCGCTTGGCAGGAGAATTACAGGCAGTGGTCATAAATTGGAACAGGGAAGATTTAGTCTTTATATAAGGAAACAGTTCTCTCTTTGAGGACAATCAGGAGCAGAAGTTGCTTCCCAGACATGTTGTGGAAGCTCCATCCTCAAGGTTTTATAAGACCTATTTGGACAAAGCCCTGAGCAACCTGATCTGCATTTAGTGTTGGCCCTGTTCTGAGCAGGAGGTCAAGTTAGAGACCTCCTGACCTGCCTCCGAGCCTGTATGAATTTGTGATTATTAAATTTGCATATGATGAGTATATATGATCTTATTCGCGTCAAATGGAATGAACCCATGGAACAGGTGTCAGCAAAATAAAAGCATCACCTAAGGACTTAAGTTGCTGTAATTGTTGTTTGCCACTTATGAGTGAAAAAACCCCCACAAGATGTCTCTAGATTGTTCCCAAGTATTTCTGTGTTGCGACAGAGAGTGTGACCTCTGTTGAAGCTGAGCACTAAAACTTGTGCTTTACTTTATTTTTATGGTTTGGGAAGAACGCTTAAAAAAAAAATCATGGAGGAACTATTTCATTTGTAAGAAATATGTGGTGCTGTGAATAAAAGTCTAAATCTTTTGCAAAATGAAGAAGGAAAGTATAGGCTGAGATCTGATTAAGATTGGGAATGGTGAGATCTGTTGGAATGTGACCTAGTTTTCCATGGTAAAATGCTTTATGGAGTATTAAAGGTGGATAGGACAATAGAAATCAAATAAGGAAAAGATTTATTTTCAAAGTAATATGTTCTACTTCTGTGCTCTGTAATGATATGATAAGTACAAACTTAATAATGGACAAGAAATAAGCAAGTATTGGTGATGGAGTTGGGGAATATTCTTGTGGCTCTTTCATCTGAAAGAAGAGAAATGACTGCATTTACCAGTAACCTTTAGTACTTTCTATGAGGGATTAATGTATAATCTTGTCAATTTTTTTGCTTCGCAAGATTGGTTGTACAGATGTCTAAATAAATATATAGAGTTGACAAAGGTAGCAGGTATTTGCTGAAAAAAATAATTATTTCAGGACACAGTCAACTGTTCATAACTTCTTGGAGGTTCAGTAAAAAACCCTGAAACACACTTTTAACATGAGCGCCTCAGCTGTGTCTGTAAATATTACATGGGTGTTTTGGTTTGCAAAACCAAAATGTTAATTTAAGTACAGTTAAGGCACTTGGCAATAAACATTCAGCATAAGTGTCTGTGCATCCAAATACCATTTCAGGGACAGTGACTGCATATGCAAATGTTATGGATGGGTTTTATGTAAGTAGGCTTGAAAATGTGGCTTTTTTTCTTTGTAGCATACTTAGGGCGCTATGCTAAAAATTACATTATCTAAAAAAATCAAATAACCTCCTGCAGATCGTACAAGCTGAATTGAAAGACTTAGTAAAAAAGTTAAGCTGAAATACTGATATTCGAATCTTTCTTTTTTTTTCTTCTTTCATCTCTTATTTTTGTAGGTTCGACCTAAACCAGTTGCCCAAAATAACATTCCTATTGCCCCTGCACCTCCTCCAATGCTTGCAGCTCCTCAGCTTATTCAGAGGCCTGTGATGTTGACAACGAAGTTCACACCCACCTCTTTACCCAACTCTCAGAACTCCATACATCCAGTTCGTGTAGTTAACGGGCAGACAGCAACCATAGCCAAAACTTTCCCTATGGCACAGCTCACCAGCATTGTGATAGCAGCACCAGGTACCAGGCTTGCTGGACCTCAGACTGTACAGATCAGCAAACCAAACGTTGAAAAACAGGTACGGATGAAGTGCCTACTAATGCAAGATACTGGGCTTATTGCTTTACTGTGCAGATTTGGAGAGGATGACAACCAGGGAGAAATTTTCAGTGGGTACCAGAGATACGTTCCAATGACAGTACAAATTGTGGAATGACTTGCAACTTTTGGGATAGAAGTTACCATTTCCTTTAATATGGGCCATGGCACCTTTTTCTCCTGCTTCAGTGTGTTATGCTCCCCCTACTGTTTTAACTTCAATAGTTCGTAAGCAGGCTGCATTGCAGGGTCTGACTGATGTCTTGGAGAACAAGTACAAACTGAAATCCATGTTCATATCAAGCCCTTTTGTTTTGCAAGGGGTGGTGATGTGAAATGCAAAATTTGCACAAAATTGTGGGGATATTTCTTCCTTGATTCCTTGGTCTTGTGGTCTTGTGACTGGAGGCAAAATAGTCTCACTCAGCTTCTGAAGTCTAATAGTTGGATTGATTGAGTGGAAAGAAGACCCTCAGAAACAGAGAATTCGGGATGTTTAGTTTTAAAGTCTCTCTCCAGGCAAGACTTTTGTAAAATAAAATGTTACTTCAGTCAGTGTGGATTGCAACTGAGAGTTCTTGCCATTCAGTTCAAGTAAAGCAATATTCTGTTTCACTTTTATGTTAATAATAGTATATTTTATACTATATTGCACACTATAGCATATAATATTTATGTTATTTATATAGATAATAGTAGTATCTATGTCAGTTATAACTCTTTCATAGACTAACATGCCTTGAAGTTACTTTCTTTCTGCTTTTGAAATCACGGAGACTATGAAAATCATGTGCATGAGAGATATGCTCATGGTCAGTTCTGCTTGTGAAGTCTCAAGAGTAGGTTCTTGTGTAACTTGGGGCTGTTCCACAAGTATCTCAGCAGTGTGTGCCCTTTTTGTGTGATTTGAAGTTTTAATTCTACAATACTTGACTTTTGATGCCTGTTTCTTTTGATGTCAGCAATATTCGTTTGCTCTTCGAATAAATTACTGGCAATTCAACTACTGAAATACGTAACAGAAGAGTGGTGGTGGTTCAATAATACATGACTTTTTCTGTGTGTTTTCTCCATATCATAAAGGGGAAAAGTTTGTCTCTCTTTAGCTTTACCACACTCAGTTTATAGCTTCAACAGCTATGCTATGGGCTGAGGACTGTCATACAGAAAATTATGACTTGAGAAGAGGAAAACGCTTCAGAAACATCTGAGATTGTAGGACTCAGAGACAGTTTTTTAGCCATTCATTATTTTATGTACTATGAATGCTGAGGAGTGAGAAATACAAAGTGCATGTGCCACGCAGAATGGTTTCACTGTGGAATTCTTCCATGGGATGAATTTTCTTGAAGTGTCTCCTAGTTTTCCCATACCTTATGGTGATTTCTGTAGCAAGGTTAACTCTTTAAGATGACTGTTATTTTTTGCTTGGCTTTTGGGTTAATGGAATGGTGGCAAGGCTGTTTCATCCTTTGTTAGATGAAAACACTTTATTTAGCATTCCTCTCACGTCAGATTCCTCAATTAAGTCTTTGTTAGTACACTGCCGGGTATAAACGTTTTCCTCTGTATCTGCAAAAGTATTTGTTTTACTTTAATAGTCAAAGTGAAAAAAAGTTCTTCTTATCACTGAATGAAACACTGTTTCTTTTCAGACTATTAAACCACATGTGGAAACAGAAGAGAAGCAAACAGAAAGTCGTACAGTTACTCCACCTGCTGCACCGAAGCCAAAACGAGAAGAAAATCCACAGGTACACCCAGAGCTTTCTTTTAAGAAAAAAAAAGGACACTCTTGTCCTTTGGAAAATATTCTTCTCCCTCTGTTCCCTCAAGACTCCTTAACTTTAACATTCCATGCATTCCTGTTGGACAGCAGTAGTTGATAAGGCTACAGAATAAGAAATCTAAATACATATAGTGCATTGCATTTTTCAGTTCTGAAATGCATTTGGCTTCTGAGTCTTTTGTAAGTTAGAAGATCATAATTCTCTGTGATACTTCCTTCAGAGGGGTTTAGATTACAGTGTTGATTTCCATTCCTTTGAAGTTTTAGACTCTAGAGTTATTCTTAATGCTGAAGAAATGTCTTTGTTTTGCTTTGGAAAATATTTCTGCTCTGGTAAGCAGGATGGAAAGAGCCATGTATGTTCACATTCTGCTTGGGGTTTAGTCCAGTTTAGTTTGGGGTGAAAGAGTGGCCAGAATGGCTGTTTTCTTAAAGCCTTTCTGCCTTGCAGAGCTATGAAACTGACTACAGCTAAATGCTCGGCTTCCTTTGTTTCTGTAGATGGATTCAACTACTGTGCGAGCACTTACTGTTGTCAGTACAAATTGTGATTTTTATATCTGTTCATTTTCTCCATTAAAATTGGAATCCTTTAAGAACACCATAGCCCTTATCAAACAGCAAATGTAAGCCAGAATTGCTCCTTGTAGTTCACAATAGATGAAGAATGATCTTAAACTAGCAATATTTTTCTGGCAATTGAACTGTGTTGGTATTTACTAAGAGTCAATCACACCGTCACTTCAGTGCTGGGCTGGAAGTAAAGACACTGCTTTCTTGCTCCCGTTTCTTGTATCTCAGTCTGGGTTCCCATCAAGAAAATGGGACTATTGTCTATTCTTTCTGAAGCAGTTTGACATACATGAATGAAAAAGTGATTTATAGAAGCAAAGTATTACTAAAAATATTTTTGTTGCTTAGTTACCTGTCAACTGCCTTTAAAGGGCCTAAATGACATAACTTATCCTAAGAGTTGGGCTTTTAATGATCTTTTTTCTCCCCCCTCACAGAAACTTGCCTTCATGGTGTCTCTGGGACTAGTTACTCATGACCACCTGGAAGGTAGGAAAAGTGTCTTAGATTGGTTCTTGCATTCCCTGTTTCATGTTTCTGAATTGGAAGTAGAGTTCCAAAATATTTCTATATTAAATGCAGTACTTTCATGCACAGTAGTACCTTTGGGGTGTCTGTACTCTTGATCTGACTTAGTTTGTTGTGCATACTTTTTTGTTCCTCTTATTACATTGAAACAAAGTAGTTACTTATACAGTGGAGATGAGTGGTTGGAAAGAACGTGTATGCTCTGGTGTTAAAAAAGAAATCTGTGACAATACTGGGCAACTATTGCTTTCTAGACAACCCCTGTCTCTGCAAAGATACACCATGGATAATTTTACTGTAACCTACATCTGGATTTTTCATTTATTTCATGATTTCATGAGGTCATAATTTGTAATGAAAAAGTTAATGGATTATAATTGGTTTTATAGTTTAAACATCTAATCCTATACAGTGAAAGACAGTCTATAATTTCAATGGCTTGCATATTTCTCTACTGTATTTTTAAGTATCAGCAAGGTTACCAGAGGCTTTTTGTTTTAGATCCCAGTTGCGCTGACCATGAGTTTAAAAGTCTTAGTCGTGGACTACTTGGCAAGAAGATGGCAATCATTTATTAGTTGATTGAGCACTGTGTTTGTATTCCTTGTCAGCTCTTAGTTTTCAAACCTTCAGAAATTAGAAGTTTAACACAGTTGCCGATATTGGGCATGATTGGTGTTCTGTAGAAATCTTTACAGTTCTCCTCACATGCAAACTGAATTCCGAGGACTTTATATAATTTCTGACATCAATTGTTTTCTAACTTGAATGCTTTGTTTTACAAGAAATCCAAAGTAAGCGACAAGAGAGGAAAAGAAGAACAACAGCAAATCCAGTGTACAGTGGAGCTGTTTTTGAGCCTGAGGTATTAATTTTTGCTGGGGGAAGCCAGTGTTTTCATTCTGATCTTGTGTGTCTTTCTGCCATGTTGCTACCTCCTAAGCTATCTCAGTCCTAACTAGACTGGCAAGCTATCATTTATAGTTCAAAAGGCCATTGCAATGACATGACCCTCAGATTTTTAAATAGTAAATACGCTGGGGTGTTCTTCTAATACTTATGTCTTCTTCTACCTTCTCCTATGTAAAGCTCTTGTTAAATGGCAATATGTGTTGGTCAGCTTATGTGTCAACCTGAAGCAGTCCAGATGTCAGAAGCAGTGTAAAAAAGCTAATCTTTCTGAATCTGTGCTTCAGAAAACAAAAAAAAGCCGATAATCTCACTTAGGACTACTGCGCTTGTTCCTCAGCTAGTGCATATAGTTTTTCCAAAAATGTTGGCCAGCAAAAATTGTTATATTCTTCCCTGCAGCGCAAGAAGAGTACAGTCACGTACCTGAACAGCACAATGCATCCTGGGACACGTAAAAGAGGTGAGGTATACTTAGACCTGTCTCCCTGCTGTATGCATCTTCCTCCATATTGCATTTGTAGTCCCCTTGCTGACTGGAAGAACAAAAGAAGGACTCCACAGTACTTTATTTGTCCAGTAAATTTCCACAGTAGACAAAGACCATGACATCTAGGGATTAGAATAGCAAGTTTTATTAGGCAGTTCAATGTTTCCTTTCGGTTTCACTCTCCAAAAAATAAAATTCGCTAGATATAGCAAAAGCGAAAGGTGTTTGAACATTAGGTAGTGGTGTGAAGCTCCTGTCAAGATCCTCTTGTTAATGACTAGATTGTATTGTTACTGTCAAGGAGAACCTGGTTATGGAAAAAGTGTCTGTGCCCTGAATAGGAGAGGAAACTTAGTGTGACAAAAGCCTTAGTGTGACAAAAGCCTGGGAGTAGAGATGGGTCCTTCAAAAGAACTCACCTTGAGCAAGGAAAGCTACCGTGCTCTTACTAAGCGCTTTTCTGCAACCAGAGTGCCACTTGTTCTAAAGTGAGAGAGGATCTTTCATATAGGTATGCAGTATTATTCAGAAGAAATCCTTCTGTAGAATAGGTGAAATTTTAATACTTAGATTACGGTGAAACAGGTGAGTCAGAACAGTACGGAAGAGAATATTTTTTTGTGTATGGCATTGACCACACTTCCCTGACAATCTTTACTTGCTTTTTGATGATTTTCTGCAGTTCTTGAAGACTCATAATACCTTCTCTTCTCCTGAGCTAGCTGTCTAAAAAAAGTAATCAATCAAATAAAAAACCCCCCAAACAGTCCCACCTAGCACTGACCAGTTCCATTATCTTTTGGGCTTTTTGGCTGCAAGGTCAAATATTCATTTGACATGTGCTTTTCTTGATATACCTCTTCAGTCCAGCAGGCAATGTGGCAAAGCTGGCACTTCTGCATCTATGCTGTTTTTAAATAAAAGACATGTCTCTACTGCTGTCCTCTAATAACATTAAATGTATTTTTCAAAATGATATGATGTAGATTTTATATAGAGAGTTTTGCATTTACTCTGTGGATTAATGTTTCTTCTTATAGTAATGATTTCTTAATTTTATTTTAGAACTCATTGTGAACAATTACTGTATCAATGGAAATGATTGCAAGCTTTTGTACTTGATACTCTCTTATCCTGTTTTTGCAACTGACTATTAAACTTTCTGGTTTTTCCTCACACTCTGTTGTGAGCCTGTACCTTGCATCAGCAACAAATTAGTAGCACACATTTTCAATTGACAAAAGATTTGGGAGTATACATTTGTCTTGTAATTTAATATAGCAATATATTGAGTGAAAAGCTTTTGCAAGTATGTGCCCTTGAGAGCTTTAGTTTAATTCTAGATGGTGCTGAGCATTTCAGATTTTCAGCCATGGCCATCACTATCAGAAATCCGTTTCCAAGGACGTACTTAGTTCTGGAACATATCCAGACCTTAAATGCAAGGCTTAGCATGTTAATAGGTATAGACTGACAATCTGTAAACATAAGATCTAGGGCATTATTCCTAGATCCTAACTCCTTTATGTTTACATATCCATAAATTACCCTGGAGAAGGGAGGCAGAAATGATGGTTACCTACTGGGTTTTTTCCTGTCTTGCTTTGCATTCATTATTTTATAAAAATTGTTATGAACACACTTTGTACATCTGCTAGTCTAAAGGAGCATTTAGGAGTTGTGCATAACCAAACATACTTGACTGATAAAGTCTAAGAAAGAACACAGAATTTGGAGGGGGTTACAGTGGAAGACCAGTGATAGGTTAAAACTGGTAGTAGTTATGGGTTGGACAAGAAGACCTGTTCTTGAGGTAGCCTAATTTTAAAAATGTACCAGTAGGGTAGAAAGTGCTGATCTGTGGATTAGTGGGTTTTAAAAAAGGGGAAGAAAAGTAGGGGGTTCGTGAGTGTTGGCCTCTGATAAAGGACTTAACCTTTGTGTAGATTTATGCTGGCACTAGAAAGATAGGGAGGTGTGGGATAACACTAGAAAGGATTTAATAGTAGTTATTGTCGCTTCTCTCTAGCTTTGATGCCAACATGTTTCCCCTAAAAACTGAACAGCCTCATTTCTAGGAGTGGCAAGTGCCCACATGCTGCTTTTGTGGGAATGATTCTTTGACCCTCTACAGAGCTTATTTCTGTTTCCTTCTGAAATACATCTTTTAAGTGTTCTTTCCTTGCAAAATTCTACTTAAAGATTTCTAAAAAATGTTTAAATCTTTGCTTCTGTCCTTCCACTTGTAACTTTTATATTAACTTCCTCTCTGTGCTACATCATTTCCTTTTTCACGCTAGCCAATGAGGACCACTGGCCAAAGGTATGTAAGATCATTTTTCCTTTCTTTTTTTTTTTTGTTTGTTTGTTTGTGTTCCCTGTTGTTAATATGTAGGTCGTCCACCTAAATACAACACGGTGTTGGGGTTTGGGGCTATGATGCCCACATCCCCTCTGTCCAGTTATCCTGACTCCCCTGAAAATGAAAAGACAGAGACCACATTTACTTTTCCCGCAGCTGTTCAGCCTGTGTCCCTGCCTAGCCCCAGCTCCACAGACGTAAGTAACTCTTGGGGAGGGGATTACTTTTAGAAAGTTATGCGTAAACAGACAGAAGGAGAATCATTGCAGATTTTGTTTCTTTAGTCTCACTCATCATTTGTCCTGATTCAGAGCAGTGAAACAGTTCATTTTTTTAACACTCTTCCTTTTTCCTCCTGCACCTATGTTGCAATCCCGTAAAGATTTTATTTATAACTCCTTCCGTGGATTGAAACATTGGGAGGCACCAGGCATGCTAGATGAGCTCATTTCTTTTGTGCAGTGTCTGAGATCTTGTCTGACTGAATTGAATCTGTCATCCATGAAAAAGGGGCGGGGGGGGAAAAGAGGAGAATGAAAAGTATGAGTTACAGACCATAATAACAAAAAAGTTATGTTTCTGTAATGAGAGAAGGAGGTAAACTGCTTCATCATGCAGAATAGCCAAGAGTATTTGCAGTATTTGCAGCACTGATTTGGCAGAAAGTGTATTGTACCTGTTCAGTGTGGAGAAAAGAGTTCTCAGCAGTTGTAGTGTACTTTGATTAAAGTGCTTACATTTTAATGACTCATATCTACAGGGCACAGTTTAAAAATCAAAAGGTGCTTGCTTATTTCTTCGTACCAGTGCTGCAAACTCCTTCTGTAATCCTTTTTTTAGAAAAGACATTGTCACATATAGTTGAGGCCCAACCATTTGAAACGGGCTTTAAGGAAGAGTTGGATCATTTTATTTTCATTTATATAATTGCACTGCTGTAAGTACATAGACTGAGAGACCAACCCTACTGACCACATAGAATGGGGAATAGAAACCAATTCTAATGGGGAATAGAAGCCTCTTAACTGTATTTGTTCTGCAGAAGTAACAGGAGTAGAAATAGTACAAATGTGTCTGAGGCACTGAAATAAATAGATGCAATTCTGATACCCAGGGAATATGTATGTGAAATTAAAAGGTTCTATTTTATATAGTAATTTTTGAGAGCAGGATAGCACTTGACTGTAAAAAGCCTTTTCTGGACAGTCAAATGAATGGGACTATGAAACAGCCCCTCAGAGATAAGGTGGGACAGCTTCCTGTCTGGGGACTTTGAAAAGTAAGCTGTACAGATAACTTACAAATATGCTGAAGAACACATATTTTACATTGGCCCTTCCTTTTACAGAGAAGGACTGGATGATGGGGTGGGGGTCTTTTCCATCTCTGGCGTGTGTGTATGCTGCCAAGTCTTTTCCCACTGTGTAAGAGCTTTCAAAACAGTAGGTTGAGTTGTTGCCCTGTTTTTTGGCAGCAAGCTAAATCAAGAATACTGAATTTCTGTAGCATTCAGATCTAGTTCTGAATGCCCTTAATTTTCTGGATTAGGATCATGTTTAGGCCTAGGTTCTGGATTTCTTTAATATTCATTAATTAACCAAAATTTAAGTGATTTAAAGGAGACAATGGAAGATTACACAGCTGATAATAAATGTTCTCTCCTACCCAAACATACCATCATATAGCACAGTAACACTCTTTCGCCTTTAAAATTGTATATAAGTCCCCTTTAATGTTTTCAGACAAGGTGTTTAGTTTATACATATGCAACAGTGCTAACATTTTTAAAGGGTTTAATTTTTTTAAAGAATTTTATGCCAAAGTCCCATTCAATACATATTCGCTATCAATTGGGCTAATTTGGTAGACTTCTCAGAAATACTTGGTATTGAATTCTGCTTAAAATAAGATACGTGTAAAAGTAAAAAATATATTTCGAAGTGCTGATAACTATTTTTTAATTAAAAATAAACTGTGTAACAAAATGTGAATTTTCAAAGATGGCAAAATATCAGAAAGGAGACAAATATATGTTCTTTTGTCATTGCATCTTATAATTCTTACTTGCTAATCATAAAGAGAGGAATGGTTTCCAATTGCCATCATGAGCTGGAAGGTAGTCTTCTGTTAATATATTATCATAAAATTGCTGTATAAGTTTGTGCAGTCACATCACTTTTTTGTGATTTGGTTTCCTCTATTTATATATTTGTCATGCTGCGTGCTTCTCCCATCTGAGTTTCGAGAATTTAGCAATACTTGTAAAAACCTTTAGCATCCTTGGCTGGAAAAGCACTATATAATGCTGGAAAAGTAGTATATATTTAAACAGCAACAATACAAGTCATGCTGGAGGTAAAGACAAAGAGGAAAACTAGTTCTTTGGCATTTAAGGACCTTGAAACTTAATTAGGTGTAGAATACAGTATCCACTGAAATGCTTATGCCACAGCTTATGACTGGTGCTGCCACTGAGAACTATGCTGCCTGTCACCAGCAGTCCTTTCTCATCCTTCAAATGCCTCCTATGTTGTTTCAGCACAGATATATCTGAGGCCTCATAGTGATCTGCATAAGGGAACTGGCATAGCTAAAAATTATGAGTTTTAGCCAGGATTATGCCCTAATCCAGTTAATTTTATAGACACACACATTCTTGTGCCAGCTTCATACAGGGTGAAATGTGTGTTTGGGCATATACAGAAAGCAGGATCACTTCTTTTGGCCATGAGGCAGACCGTGTCATGTTGAAGAGGGTCTACACTGTTAGCAGATGATGTGACTATAGAAAGGTCTCTTTATTCTAGATGGGACAGAACATGTTGTCTGTAGCCTCCAGCTTTTGGAGACTTAAAAATGAAAATACAACAAGTGCATGCCAAAGAAAAAGGCTATTTCAGAAGTCTCAGTTAAAACAATTGAGCAGTTCATCAGGCAGATACAGAAAAAGACTGCAGTTTTGCCTATCTTTAAAATATTTTTGCATTAATTTGCTGAGAAGGTCTAATTCCTATAGGCTTTAGAATAGAAATTTGATTTTAGCACTTGAGTAATCTTTGTGTTTAGCCAACCTATGAAAATTGCAAATCAGGCCAAGCACTTGGCGTCAGGTTTGATGGCCCAGAACACCCTTCTTGAATTTCTCCTGAAATGTCATTCTCTGAATGACAGGGAGAAATTTTGAAGGGAGGATGAAGCAGAAACTTGAGATGGGATTGGTGATAAGAATGGAGGGGTAGAAAGTAGGAATAGAACCTGGGAAAAGGAAGTAAGTAATGCAATAGGCAGGATTGAGCAAAACATCTTTTTTTTTTTCCTCTCTCTCTCTCTTTTTTTTTAATTCCCTTTTTCCTGTTTGGCAATTGTTTTTGAACCAGTTGGTTATGTATGGCTCTCCCTCATGCAGCAGTGGCATATTCACCTGGAAGATAGCAATTGCCTTTGAAGGTCAATTACTCAGCAGTAAGAATTGTGCAAAAATCTCTATTCTAGTGATGGTTCAAGTCTGTGGTCACAAAATGCCTTTTCATTAGTAAACTCTTATATCAAAGCAATATTTCAATTGAGAGAAGCATCACAGAACATTCAGACTGCAAAGTCAAACCCATAGAAATTAGGAAAGGCCAGATTTATTATTCTTCTGATAATTAAATTCATTTACATTGTACACTCTGATCATCTTTATTTATATGGTCATGAAAAATTCCTGTAGCAGAATGTTTAGCTTTCCCATGTTGTTCCAGTGAAATGTATGCATAAGTATAGGTATTACATATTCAAACACACAAACTACATTTGATACTGTATTGTTCAGTTCTGTTGCCTAAAGCCAGGCCCTGCTGCTCTAGACCCTTATAAAAATAAAGAAAACTGTTAGTTATCCAGAAGTCTTTTATTTGTTTTCCTGGTCCCTTGATGAAGAGAAAGTAGAACAAAAAGTGATGTCGAATCACCTTTTATGATGTCTCTTCTGAAATTATTCTTCAGTCACTTCAGCCTGCCTCAGTGAGCTCTGCTCTAGCCTAAGTTGACTGCCTACAGCCTACACAGAGCTGGTTCAGAAGCTGAGGTTAGTAGGATGCATGTCACAACATCAAATCCAGAACATCTTTATGCATATATTTATTAACTGCCCATAAAACCTGGGGCATTTCTTTGGAATCCAACAGTGGCTGGGTTTTTGGTAAGGACAGCTATTAATTGTGAGGAAATGCCCTGAATTTTGCATTACCAAACATAGGACTGTGAATTTTGTGCCCTTGTGTTGTCATCTCCATGTGTTCAGCTGCATTGCACACTGATCAGCTGTATCACTACAGGTTTTGCAGCATTCAGTTGATTTTGGAATGTTCTGGGTCTAAATTTATAAATGTCTTCTCCTCAAGAAGAAACTACATTTGTCTCTTTTGTAGGTCTCTTTCTGCAGGGTATGAGGTATAACAGGTTTGGTTTTCAGCAAAGCAATAATATTGCACCTGAGCCAGTTACCAAGAGCAATCTGTGGCAATCTGTAATCTGTGGCAACCCAAACATCTTAAGATATGTAATTCTCTGGAGTAGAATTTTTTTTCTAAAATGAGAGAATTTTCCTCCTTAATTTTTCCTTAGATTGCGGAGGATTTTATTTTAGCTTATATGACATCTCCTGCCTACCTTCCTTTCCTTGTACTCACAGAGGAAAAGAAGTTCTTCCCAGCCTGGTTACACATACCACTTCACAAGAAGCATGAAGTGTCACCCATTTAGTTCTTCATTTAACACCGAGGAACTCTTTGGTGTTAAAGGATGAAGTAATACCATTATTCAGCTCTCAGTGATCCCTGGGAGTTATGGATCCAAAGCATGGCACTGAAAAATCACTAAAGATTGATCCTTTACAAAACATGAAATCACTGTTAACCTTGGGAATTAAGAGAAGAATAGCCTTCTCTTTGAAGAACGGCCTCATGAGCGAGAGAGCTGGGAAACAGAAACCTGAGCAGGTTGCTTGTATGTCATTCTTCTAACATGTGGAGATTAGTGTAATTTTTTTTGGCTGGTAACTTACTGTGTAAGTGCATGGCCAAATCTGCCATCCCTCAAAATTGATAGAACTTATTCATGCACCTGAAAAGACAATATGCATCAAAATGAAAGCTTGCACATGTTGATATTTCATATAGGGGAAGCATATACCCACAGTTCCACTCAACACACACATCTAAGATCTCAGTCTTGCAGATCTGGTGTGTGTGTGAAACTTCATTGTAAGTTGGTGCAAAGTTTGTATTTCAGACTCGGGGTAGGGCCTTGAATATGTGGAGTTTCCAGGGCAACCCACAGGTGGTGAGAGGAGAGGGCTGGGTGCCCCTTGCCTTCAATATGAATGCTGAGCCACCTTTCTTTCATGCCTCTTTGTTCAAATATCCTAAAAACAGAGAAAAGCAAACAGAAACACCACCACTGCTCCTAGCATGAGGTGGGAGTAACAGGAGGGGAGAGAGAGAAGAAAAAGTCACAAAAATCAGACCTACCTTTTTGGGATATTAATGACTGTAGAAAAAATTCTCTCTAATGGTGAAGCAATAGTAAATAAACCTAGTTGTTTTAAAAGACACGGCCAGTCGTGTTTTCAATTATTTCTTTTTGAAAAACCCTTAGTTAGAATCTCTCTTGATACTCTTTCATCCTGGCGCTCAGCCTTTGTTAGTGATGAAACAAACCACTCTGTAGAGAATGAGAAAGTTTTGACTCACAGCTTTTTCTGGTGCAACTTGAGGTAGCCTAAGTGAAGTAAAAAGAATTGTCGCAGAACATAATTAATTCTGTCCTTTTTCATTTACAAGCACAACCCCTTTTCCTTACAGTTTCATTTTTAAAGGTGACCTAAATATTTGACAGTGCTCTTTTAAGTCATTCGGGGTTTCTTACATACCATTACTGGCAAAAGACAGCCTCATCAGCATTCCTGGAGGGGAGTTGGGCTTACATCCAGAAATGAGGAGGGTTAAGAAAGTGTGTAGCTCATCAGTTCAGGCAAATAAAAAGCAGGATAAAGTGGGAATTTGAAAGAAGAAAGACTAGGGGATAGCAGTTGTTAAGAGAAGTTATGTTAGTAAGTGTTTGCTGTACCATTTTGCCTCTGGAGGACAGAGGGAGTGTTTGGGAGGACTGATGTCAGTGACATGCTGCCTGGTTTTCCTGTTTCACAGACTAAAAAGGGCTTGATCTTTTGGAATCCCCTTAGAAATAGTTTGTGCTGTAAACTTTCAATTCAACTAGGATGTAGATGTCAAAGGCCAAAGTTCACTTTTTACCTTCTCTCTCTCTCTTTCTCTAACCCCCACCCTTTCCCCTCAATTTTGTAGGGTGATATCCATGAGGATTTTTGCAGTGTTTGCAGAAAAAGCGGGCAATTGCTGATGTGTGACACCTGTTCACGTGTTTATCACCTGGACTGTCTGGACCCGCCTCTGAAAACCATTCCCAAGGGCATGTGGATCTGTCCCAAATGTCAAGACCAGGTATTGTTTGACAGACAGGGGGAGTTATATACAATGCACTGTGAAGATTTTTCTGTGTTAAAGAAAATAACCAGATTGCTTGGGTTACTTAGACCAAGACAGCCTGGCACTGAACAAATCTATTTGATCTGTAATAAGGCTTGTGTGAAATTAATTAAATTACCTCTGTCAGAATGCATGCAAATACAAAACTGTTAGGTCTTGCTCCCAAATTTGGAGTCTGTATTTGTACCCTGGTGTTTTTGCTCTTTTTCTGGGCCAAAGCATGCAGACTTTTTTGGGAAAGATTATCCATGACCGATATTTCTATCTTTCTACCCACAGAATTTTTGCTATTCATCTTAAGTTCATTGTTTCTTCAAAAGTTATTAGTATATTCTTCTGGACAAATAAATAAAACATTTGCACAAGCCTACTTCAATAGGTAGAGCAAATATAAGCCCCTGTTTACTCATATAAAGAGGTTGTCTTCAGCGATCTCTTTAATAATATCACCCAGCATCTGTATAATGAGGATAGGTGAACACTTTGGTGGTCCTTCCTTGCAGATCCCTCTCTGAAAATACACAGTTGAAGTGAACAGATTATATTTTAATATTTTGTTCATAATTGCATTGAGATTACAAGATGAAGAAGTAAACTATTGTATTCCTAACCCTTCCATGGAACTCCAGAAATTACAAAGGACTGCTGATAATGAGCAGCCTGAAGCTGTTAGCATTTTGTCTAACACAGCATGCTGCTTGGTCACCCACATGACCTTTGGTTAGCCAGGTAGTGATGTGAGAAAACAACCTGACATATGATGTGCTGCTCAGAATTCAAGTGACTTGGTCAGTAGTTGCCAGAGAGGAGGGACTGTGACCACTTCCCTTTATTCCTGCTCTTGCCTACTTTGACCTTACCCCTCCTCTTCATATTTCTGTGATAGGTTCCCACAAAGTAGGGAGGGAGATCTTAGTAATTTCACTGTAAACTGAGTCCTCTGTCTTCCGAGGTACCACTGATCAGTAATTAAAAATATGTCTTTCCTCTCAAAAAAGTTTGTTAGGAAGCAAAATGTAGGAAGGATATGAAAGACAGAAATGATGCTTACCCTTTTTAAGAGAGTTTGACAACTCTATTAAGATGATTCTGATAAGAAGGGAAGATAGGACAGCTTCATGTTTTACTAGGCAGGAAGCGTGATGTTTGAATGTATGATGTGGAGACTGTTCTGTGGCATGAAAACTTTTCTCCCAGAACAACTAAGATCAGCAATTTGTCTGAATCATGAAGTAATGTTTATGTCTCCTGGAGAGTTTGAGTTCAGATATATTATCCTTTCATTCCTCTTTTGAGTTGTTCAGTTTCATTAATAGATGTTATTTGTGGCTATGGAGGGAATTTAGGAAAATGCTGACATTTGTAAGAAACAGGCCTGTTTTGTGGAAGCCACAATACAGTTGTGAATAATTCACTCTGTTAAATCTCAGAAAAGGTCTGTGAAGCTTCACATTAAGAGGACTGAGACTAATGATAGCCATGAAAGAAAATCCTCAGTCTTTCCCTCTTTCTGTCTCTCCTTTTTATTTTCTCTGAGGTAGATTTTTTTACCAGCAATATCTCTATAAACAATTTTCTTTCAGATGCTAAAGAAGGAAGAAGCAATCCCATGGCCGGGAACTTTAGCAATTGTTCATTCATATATTGCATATAAAGCAGGTAGGAAAATGGTGTACAACACTTTTGTTTCACTTTTAACATAGGAAGGTGTTATTTTGGGAATGGGACAGAATGGTACTTCCTTTATAAAAGGAAATTAAAGGGGAAGAACCTTAATAACTAGTGAAGTGAAAATAGCAGTCTAAATATTTATTAAGCCTTCTGTGATGCTTATGTGTGTGGGTAAAATTTGGGGGGTGATTCAGTGCACAAGTTGTTGAATTGACTTTAAACCCAGTTATGCTCTTTACATGAAGTGGTTTAGACCCTCTATTCACTGTTGTAACAGAAACATTTTAAATATCCTGTTTTGCAGCAAAAGAAGAGGAAAAACAGAAACTACTTAAATGGAGTTCAGATTTAAAACAGGAAAGAGAACAACTAGAGCAGAAGGTCAAACAGCTCAGCAATTCTATAACAGTGAGTATTGTCCTCCCAAATAATTCTTCACCTGTGTTCTAGTGCCAGAATGCAGAGAGAAAACTATAATAGAGTGACTTGATGTACTAGACCTGTCTTCCACTGGATTTACTGAGAACTAAGTGAGCATTTTCCTTTGCTTTTTAGGACTTTGGGGAGCAGGAATGAAATAAAGGCAACATATACTTACATTGAGTCTCTTATACATGATCCATGCTGGCTGTGTTGGTAGACCTGTAATATCAGCAGGTGACAAAAACGACACAGAGCATTATCGTCTGTGGGCAGTAGATTAAATCAAAATCTCCAGTGGTTCACTTAAAGAAGAATGGTTGAGCCTTTGTGTGTAATGAGAGTTATAGTCTTGTTGAGCTTTCCAGACCTTCCTGATGCAAAAGCAACTGTTTGCTCAAGGATGACTCTCAGGCTCTTGGCATGTTACCTTGGCAGTCAGCACCTGGACGCTGTGCAGGGCTCTGCATAATATTTAATTAGACAGTGTCATACTTCAAACCAGAAGCTTTAGTTTCCACCTTAGTTTATTGCAGTAATTGGAACATACGTATTAATTTGCTCTCTCTTCTCACCTTAATATGCAAATCAGTCTCTTGAGTTGCCAACGTAAATTTTGAGCCCCTCACTTAGTGCTGGTCAGTGTCACATAATGAAACACACCGAAATCTCCGATGTGTAAGGCTGGATACATAAGAACAGACTTCTTAAATACAGATGCACTCTCCAGGCTGCCTGTCTTTGCCTACTAGAACAGAAGTGTCCTGTGTTTTCAGGCCCCTCAGCACTGATAATACAATAATATGATTGGGAGCAAACGAATGGTGAGAGGTGCTGGTTAGCAGTTTGTGACACTGTTATCTTCTATTAGCAGTAGCTGGGTGTAACCTGAGCAGTACTAAAGCACTTACACTGTTTCTCAGTGAGGCACCCAGGCAGATGCAAGCCTTTAACATGAAGGATTGGCAGTGGGTAAAGAGAGTGTTTATACTTACATTGGACCTGTCCAAAACAGACACAATCGGTCTGGATTTTATGGTGTTACTATGGTGCCAGGAGCTGCATGTGAAAATAGTAAAGTTAAAACCAACAGTTTCTGGAGATCAGCATGAATAAAAGATTTAAAAAATGTAGAAAGGTTGCCATCTTTGCCTAAAAACCTGAATGTAACAGACGTAGCTACTGTTTGCTCATTTTTGAGGGTTTCAAATATACATATAAGCAGTTTTTCACTCTTGAAACATCATTTGTGGCCTTTTTAAAAAATTATCTTACCCTGACGCTTAACTGATGAGCTAGCTGTGTTACTACCACTTCTAAGAGAAAGAAGTGGCCGCAAAATAAGATTTTCAAGTGAAGAGGAGTTTGTTTTCCTTTTCAAGTGCCCCTTTATTTATTGAGAGAAGGAAGTGATGTTCCTACTAAAATGTGTATGAAAGCAAAGGCTGCATCCCACTAATGGTGTGCACACACACTGTCAGCAGTCAGCTGCAGTAGGATGCCTGAGCTTGCAGATCTGAGCTAAAGAAATTTCAGTAATGCTATACTAATAGAAAAAATAGTAAGAGCATATACTTGAAAGTTTTCCTTCAAAAGGAACACAAAAGGATGGAGCTGTCTGTGTTCATTTGCAGAACACCTTGGAATAAAAGGGAGCCATACCAGGTGACAGCTATGTCCTGGCAATTTAATTCCTCAGCCTGCAGTTAATGAATTCTCCTGTGAACACAGCCCAGAGACTTTTTTTCTTCTGTGTTGGAAAAGTGAAATTGTAGCTGCGGTCTTTTCTAGGTTCTTACATTTAGATCTGTGAACAGCATATTCCTTCTCTTACCTGCTTTCATTCATAAGCTTGAACTTATTACTGCTTTTCTGTTTTGCTGCAGAAATGCATGGAAATGAAGAATACCATCCTTGCAAAACAGAAGGAGATGCACAGCTCCTTGGAGAAGGTAAAACAGCTGATCCGCCTCATTCAAGGCATCGACCTTTCAAAACCCATAAACTCTGAGGTCAATTCAGTAGCCATCTCCAACGGCATGGACTCCACTAACAATACTAATGCTGCCACCTCCACCTTAGCCCCCTCCCCTTCCCAGAGCTGCATGGTGAACTGTAACAAGGGCGATGAGACTAAATAACACAGTGAAGTTAAGAAGGAGCCAAGGGAGGTGGCGGCGAGGAGAAAGAGCAAAATAAAGAAACTCTAGAAAAGCAAAACTGGATTTCTTCTGGAAAGTGCAGAATTCTTTAGTTCTTTGGTTCCAGAGAGAGCGTGAAGATGCTTGTGCCAGGCGGCACCGGAGTTTGCCAATTGATCCTTCTTATTCTGTGTGTACATGCGAAGTTTGGATCATGTTACATGAATAGTGCCAGCTGGGGGTTCTTTGCCAGCACCATGCCAAGTGAAATAATATATTTACTCTCTCTATATTTTACACCAGTGTGTGCCTGCAGCAGCCTCCACAGCCACTATAGGTTTGTTTTATTTTTGTTTGGGGTGAGGAGCAGGGATAAGGGAGGAGAGCAGGTTTCAAGTTCCTATTTGCAGAACAGTTTGTTTAGCTAGGGGAAAACAAAAACAAGTCCAAAGAGCCTATGGGCTTTTCCTGTTTCTAAACTCTCAGTACTATTAAACCAAAAAAACCAGAAATATAAATTATCAAATCCCAGTGCCCAGAAGGGACAAGTCTATCAAATAAGCAGTATTTACTATTGTTTAGACAGGAGATTTACAAAAGGAAAGGAGATGGACTTTTCACTGAGTAACCAGCACATATAATCATATAATCATAGTATATGCTGAGTTGGAAGGGACCCACCAGGATTATCGAGTCCAACTCCTGGCCCTGTGCAGGACACCCCAAGAATCACACCATGTGCCTGAGAGCATTGTCAGAACGCTTCTTGAACTCAACCAGGCTTGGTGCTGTGACCACTTCCCTGGGGAGCCTGTTTCAGTGCTCAACCACACTCTGGGTGAAAAACCTTTTCCTGCTATCTAATCTAAACCTCTCCTGACTCAGCTTCATGCCGTTTCCTTGAGTCCTGTCACTGGTCACAAGTGTGAAAAGATCAGTACCTGCCCCTCTGCTTCCCCTCACATGTATAGGCTGAGGATCTACTGTCCCAACAGCTTGGGGTTAATCCTGTTTCTTCACATTAAACGACAGACTTCCTTTGCAGAATTGGTTTGGGTCCTCACATTCATCCAGAAAGTCTATGTTGGGAATGGGAAAATGAGGGCCAGAATTCAGGGTCAGCTTGGAGCATTGGATGGAGGTATCTCAAGAGAAAATGTGCATCAATTACTTGAAAATGAGATTTCAGCCCTTTTCTGTATTTATAAACAACAAAGGTATCCTGAACAAAGTAGCACATAACCCAGATGTGTGAACTCAACAGAGAAATGTCCTTTTCTTTCACTTCCTTTCTCTTCTTTTGGTAACAAGAACTAAATAAGGAATAGAAAAGCTGTTTTTCAGGCTGACAGTCTAATTAAAGAGGTAGATGGGACCTTGCATGGTATAGATTAGAAGTAATAGTGTCAGTGAGATACAGTGAGTCTTTGTGAGTCCTTGTGTCATCGTTTTGGGCACTGTTTTTTTATGCAAGGGCAAAATCTTTGTATCTGGGGGAAAAAAAACAACTTTTTTAAATTAAAAAGGAAAATAAAAGATATTGAGGTCTTCCTAGTGTTACTTAAAATAAGATCAAGGTAAGAAACATTGTAAAAAAATTACAAAAGTGCTATTTGTTTCCTAAACAAGTGATTTCTATTAAAAAGGTGTCAGAACTGGAGAAAATGCTGTGTACTTAGAATTTTTTAACACAGACTTTGCTTATTTATGATCACATTCTGCTGTGTTTGTGTTTTAAAATCAAATGGGACAGTTTCAGTAGATTATACCATACATCTACTGGCTAAACTCTAAAGAGAATCAAATCCTACAGTGCTGGATCTCACCCCACCTGGAGGATCGGCCAGGCTTGTCTCTGTTGTTACCATCTTTCCCCCATTCTTTCATGTGTTTGTAACCCAGAGAAAAGCAGTTGACAATGTGCTTGTTTAAGGTTTTTACAGTTTTGTGATATGGACTGATTAGAGCTTGAGGATGAAAGACAGTGAGTTGGTTGGACTGAAATCGCCTTCCATTATCTCCTCTTGTTTAAGAAGTTCATCTCTTACGTATAATCTTTTCACTCTAGACAGCAAAGCTTGCCTTGTGCTTCCTGACTGTGGGGTCTGTCTCAGTTTAGGGTGCTGATTGTGGTCACGTTGGATTGTGTCCCACCCAGAGCTGTCTAGTTTCACTACTGCATATAAACATTTGGGCAAAGCCCGTTTCCACTGGAAGTACTTGGAAAACTTCCTTTACTTCTGGTGGGAGCAGAGTTGAGCTACTACGTACACAATGTGAGGCAATGTCTCCGGTGTGGTGGCCTTGAGAGCACGAGTTGGGTGGCGAGGCAGACCTGCTCAACCATTTCTAGTGGAAGGTAAAAAAGCTTTGGATTTCAGGGATGCATTTCTGAGTCAGAAGAAGTGAATACTCCACTAAATAGCCTGAGACGGTTTCTTTGCTGCCACAGCTAAATGGGCTTCTGTGGGGTTCTTAGAGCTGTTTTCCTCCCTCTCCCTTAGGTTGCCCTTCTGCCCTTTAAGGACTTTTATTCCTTCTGTAGGAGTGTGCACTATTTTCAGCTCTGAGCTCAGAACTGATATCCTGAGTTCTCACATTTGTCTGCAGTTGGGAAAGTGACTCTTAGGTGCACTTCTCAGCTGTGATAACCTCGACTCTGTCTTTTGATGCTTGAGTTCTGTTCTGGAACTAGTGGAGCTGGAAGGATAAGGTAGCACGAGTGGCAGGGAGACAGCTGGGCAGACGACATCAAAACTGATCGTACTAAAAATGTCCTTGCATCAATCCAGTTACCAGTGGGGGTCATCACCACAGGGCAGCACTGGGCCAGCAACCCCTAGCATTTAAACAAAGGACTGTCAATTTCCAGGGTGGAAGAGAGAAAGCAAACTGAACATGAGCCTTCTTTCCATAGAATATGAGCCATCAGCTAATGGCCAGATATTCAGGAGAAACTGCCTTTTTGAACTGTTTGCTCTTTAGTTGTCCACTTGGATAATTCTTAACATCATCTTCTGAAGCATCGAGTACATTCCTGGTAAGAGACAGTCTCAGGGGTAGGTGTGCTGAGTCTTCACGGTTCTCATGTTGTTTGTGGTGTTACCTGCTGAGCTCTCTTGGAAACACTGCAGTATTTGGAGGTAGCAGGCTATGCCTGGAGACTAGATAGTCCTTCTGTTTTCTTTGCGGATTCAGGAGGGAATGGAAGTGAAATTCACTAGTCGCCATATTTAAATTTGAGCACAGTTAACCAGACAGGAGATGTTAAAGCAGCTGTTACTGCTTTTCTGAGGCATCTTGTCTCCAGAATCCAAGTAGATAAGACTTTTATGTCCCTTTCGTTACAGCATCTGTGTTCCAGACTGTAAAAGGATGCATTTAGTTAATCATTACCTGGCAGATCTTAGACTTTTTGATACTGCTTAGGTAGTTTTCTCTCTCTCCCACTGATCCTGTTCAGATGCTTTTTCTCCCGGCTCTGCAACAGTCTGGAGCAAGGAGCATTCCCAAAGCTGCAATGGCGCTGGCAATGATGCTGCTATGTAGATAGAGTAAATTGGGATTATCTCTGCCCAATTACCAATAATAGGGTGGAAGGGGAATTGGCATTTGCTAAATACAGAGGAAAATAGATTTTTTTTTCTAGCTGCTCTAAGAAGTTCCAATCAAGGAAGAAATTTAAACTCTTTGACAGCTTAAAGCTCAAGTTTGTGTTCTGGGTTTATATTGGTTTGGGGGTTTTTCTCATGTAATGTTTGAGATAGAATGAGTTTGCACTAAAACTTCTGCTCTTTGGGAAGCTGTCATATTGAATGTGGTTTTGTATTTCCAAACCACCACCAAGATATTAACTAATTCTTATGTCACTGCTTGTCATTGGTGGGAAACAAGTGACTTTTAAATCTCTGTTACAAGGGAAGCGATGAGACCACAAAGGAAGCCCATATCAGAGACAATCCTGGCTCTCAGCCCAGTGCTAAGGACTTTAAGAAGTACCCTGCTCCTTTGCTCAGAAATTGCTCAGAGCAAGTGCTGCAGAAGTTGTTTTTTCCCTTCTCCTTGCAATCTGTTCTTTAAACAACTGGAAAGGTGCGTAGTGGTCAGAGTGGCAAAGTGAGCATGTGACCTGGCTAGAAGGATTAGTACTGTCATTATTATTCTCATTATTTTTGTTTAGAGCCAGCAGTGATTTTAGTGCTGTACAAAACCCAGTAAAAGCAATAGTTCTAGGGATAATTGGCAGATAGAGTGAGTAGCATGGCTGATTCTTCCAGGGCATCATTTTTAGCCAGGAGCTACCATGTTGGTGGGATGAATTAATGTTTTGCATTAGCAAAACAGGGCTTTGTTCTATGTCGTAAGCAAGTTTCTGTCAGTGGGAATATGAATTAAAAGCTGCTATGGGCAGACCTGTTAGTTTTATTGTTGGCAGAAAAACAATATTGTAGTTTATCCTTCCTAGCTGACCAGGCTTAAGAAAGCAAGTCTATATTCCCTCTGTTTAGAAATGTGAACCCTAATTCTGACCTCCTTGGCTTCAAATCATCTTCTTACATGTACTGTTGCAGAGATAGCCCTGAAAAGCAACGTAGTCAGCATTCAGGAGAACCCAGAGTGAAATCTCCCTCTTAGGCCCACCAAGCTGGGACAGCCCACAGTACAGGGAGTAAATCTGAAATTTCCTTCCCATGTGGATACAATGGGAAATATTTGTGAATTTGTAGTGTGCATGTTTCTCTTTCTTTCCCCAGCTGGGTTGCACACTGCTCTCTTTGCTTCTGAAGCACTAATGATGAATACACGCTTTTTAATGAAATGTGTTTTTAAAATAACAGGGGTTTAAAATATTATATATTAAGATGTTAAACCAAAATTCACTGTTTTACTGAGGGCCTCTCAATGAACTGCTCAGATAATCACTGAAATACCGATATTACACTTCCTTGTCGACCACTCCCCTTTGGGCAGAGTGTCTTTTTAGGGCTGATCCTTTTTCACCTCCATTTGTCCTCCCTTGGAATTCTGAAGATTGGAGCAAGTTCAGCCTTGCTGGGTTACTGCAGAGAGTTTTCTGAGAAGTCTGTAGGAGTCAGGAACTTGGAGAAAGAGGAAGATGTTTTGTCATGCAGCTAACTCATTTGGCACTTAGGCTTGCCTGGCCAAAAAACTACCTCAGCAAAGGCCATTCCCGAGCACTATGTGGATTCTGTAGTTTCTGGCATTCAGAAGGCAAAAGTTCTCCAAAGAACCCTCCAACAGCCAGCTAGGTACTGGTGTCTGAGGGCATGCGAGTGAACCTTGCAGCGACATGCTGTTGGATCCTTGTTTTCAGTGGTCAGACCTGGACCAGGGAATGACTCAAAAATCAGATGGGATCAGGAAAAGATGATAGCTGCAGACATCTTGTCTCCTGGTTATTGCTGTCTTACTCAGACCCTTCTTTAAGCTCAGTCCTGTTTGTAACTCTACAGAATGGAATGTAATACTTGAAAGGTATGACTCTCTCTATCCTTTTTCTTTAGCTTCTATTTGCCCCCTGTTTCTCTCTTATCTGGGATAAGAAGTTTCTGCATCATTGTGTCTTGTATAGGCTGAGCACATAGTTGATCAACTTGCCAATAAAGAAAATTATTTATACCATGCACTGGTAAGCTTGGTAATTATAGACCCATGAAAAGACAAAACACCTCTCTCAGAGGTTAATTTAAGATGTGGGCTTGTTTCAGAAAACCAAGACCTTACCTGTGTGAGAGTCTGTCTGTATCCCTGTCAGTATTACTAAAATGAGTGGTGAACAAAAAAGAGGCTTGTCAGGAGAACCAGTGCTGTGAAAATCGCTGTGCTGTGCAAGTCCCTGGAGTGTGTCTCATGAGAACAGCCAGGCCAGGGCTTCCCATCTCCCTGGGCCAGAGGTCGGTGCTGCAAGGGACAAAAGAAAGGACAGAAGCCTCTTGAGAAGGCTCAGGCGGTGAGTACAGGGCTGGAGATGGGAAAGGAAGGGAGAAAGCAGGAGGAGCAAAGCAAACAAAGATTACATGGGGTAAAGCAGAGCAGAAAGGAAAAATGCAGAAAGAGAAGGAGGGAAAGTGAGGGTAAGAAAAATCCAGGAGTGAAATAGGGCTCCATTGTGAGGAGATGGGTATTCCTACAGTGGAAAGAGTAGAACAAAATTGCTCTTTATCCTACCTCAATTTCGGATGTGGGTTGATCTGTATTCCAAAAGGAGCAAGTGTGGTGGTAGAAGACCTGCCTGGCTGCAGGTAGGGAATGAAGTAGGCACTAAGTCATCCCTAGTTCTGCTTCTGCTGCTGAGTGATCCCATTCTGACAAGAGCCTTATTTGACTTCTAAGCCACAACATAAGGCAGATCAAGAAGACCTTGGGGCAGTCAGAGTCTGCTCTAATCTGGACCATATTAATTAAACATTTTCTTGGCTAGAAGTATTCCGGAGACTAGCTAAAGGTTCAGCTCTGCTAGTGTGGTTGCACCTTCCTAGTTCAAGTGTTAAAATTAGCCTAGTTAAAACCAGCATCAGCTCCCAGAGGTCCTGGATCCCACTTGAGCAAAGGAGACAATGTGGGGCAGGACCTGTGACTTAGGTACTTTTCAGCCATCTCTTGGAGTATCTGTGCAAGATTCCTGCTCTCTGGGCTGTCACATCTGGCAGTTCTGTGCCAAAATCCCTCCAAGCAGCAATGCCTCCCTGTTTTCTCAGGGTCTGGATTCTTTAGGGACACATGCAAAGGGGCACTTCACCGGTGCACCTAGACTGTGGCATGTGGTAAGTTTAATGTGACCTGTCAGAAGCTGAGGGCCCTGCCTCTGGGCTACATTAAGCAGCAGCCCGTGGGACAGGCACCCTCCTGGGGGAAAACAGCTGTCCCAGCTCTTGAGTGTGAGCAGGGAGTAAGCTCTGTGTCTGTTCTTCTTCACTCTGTAGTATCCAAGCAGGTGTCAAATGCTTCAGAGAGAGAGACGCTCAACCCAGTCCCGAGTTCTAGAAAGAAAGAAGTACTTAAGGGCATGTTTACTCTCAGGAGTGCCTGGGGAACTCAAAAGCCATGTAAGCTTGGCTCTGCCTGTCCTGGGGTGGAGCTGTGGGATGGAAAGGCAGCAGCAGTGAGCAGTATCAATCCGTTGGCTCTCAGCATTTTTCATCACCTTGAGTTTGTATCTTTTTTCTTTTTCCTGAATTTGCACTGGCAAATGTAAACCTCGACCGATTCCCGCCCTTTTGTCATGTGCCTTGTTAGATCTCTGTTGTTGGAAAAATAATGAAGTATTGTTGCCTCTGAGCTTCAAGATATCATTTTTCTTAGTGAGCCCTGGGGTTGTAGCTCAGGCAGGGGAAGGAGGCAGCGGCACAGGCCAGCTCCTGGGGCTGTGTTCAGTGGCCACCCTTGATTTTGGACCCCCAGTGCTGAGGTTTGATACTGCAGCAGCACTGGGAAGATGCTGTGCGAGTACAAGGGCGGGGGCTCCCCTGGCTGCCACCCAGGTGTTGGCCTCTCAGGTGGGGCATGCCAGAATTGAGGGGGGAGGGAAAGAGATGGCTCAGTGCCTCTCATTCGCCTCTGTAAAGCAGGTACTGGCAGTTCTGACTCCAGAAGAGCAGTTTTCCATGGCTGGGGGCACTGGGGTAGGCATTGTTGAAAGAAGCTCTGTGCTGGGTGCGGCAGGAGGCTGCGTGTTTCTGCTTGTTCTGGGCTACTGTATAATTTCTAATCACAGTCTCATATTTCTTAAATTATTACATCAAAGCACTGATTGACTCTCGAGCCAGGCATAGTCTTACCTGTCAGCTCTCCAAGGTATGTTGTCTCTGAGTTGCTCCTGATGCCATATGTGACAGGCAGCCAAGACCTTCCTTAAGGAAGGTTGTTGCTCCTGCATAAGCCCCTGCAACTTGGTCAGCTTCCTGGCAGCCCCAGGCAACCAGAGCCAGCAGGCAGTTGTGTCCCACAAGCAGCTTCACTCCAGTTACAGCTGTAGGGTCGTCCCAAATGCCGTCTTACACTGTCAGAGACATCGGCTGCCTCTCATAGCCCCACAGAAGCAAAGCATGCCTTGCAAACTCCATTAAGCAAAGCTTAAGCAAGGTACCAGGAGGAAGGGGGGATCCTGCTAGTGCTGACCTGTTCAGACTCCTGCGGAGGAAGGAAATAACTTTGCTGTGTCAACAGCAGTGAAGTGGTGGCGAGCTGCAGCTGCCTGGGAGGTCTGATGCAGCGCTAGGGTGGCTGCCCGTGCCGAATTTTGTCTTTGTGGGGCTGACTGGCTCTAACCCGCGGACACCGTGTCGTCTGCAGCTGAGGGCAGGAGGGTTGTAAAGGCAGCTCTGCTTGTTTAGAGAAAATACTCAGGCCTCAATCACGGCTTCGTGTTGCTGTGATCATGGTGGCACCACCTCAGTAGATTTGTTGATACCACCATCCTGCCTGTGTGCTGTGCTTCATCCCATTCCTCCACTTCCACCCCAGTGTTTCACCCAAGACCAAGCTGTAAGCAGAAGTCCTGCCATGGGCTCGGAGCAGGACCTGACCCTGAAGAGCTCTGTATCCAAGCCCTGGTCCCTCCTCCAGCCTGTCTGATTTCTCCAGGTGACTTTGGTGAACAGCCCCCCGTTCAGGCAGTGCTGCCCTGCAGCCACGGGCCTGGTGCTGCACGGGGATGATGGCAGCTTCTTTCCCAGATGGGTTTGTGAAGGCAAAGCCATGGCTCTGCCCTCTGTGAGCCGGTGCCACCTGTGCTGTCCCGTTCCCCACCAATCTCCTGTCCTTGCAGGCCCTGGTGTAAAATGCCCTTTCTGACTGGTACTGCTCTGTTGTCACAGAATCACACCATGAGAACACCGACTTGTGAGCTGGTTTGGGTTTTTTAAATATCTCTATTTTTTTTAGCCTGATGCTCATAGTGATCTGCAGTCTCTGCTGCCTTCAAGTTCCTTGTGGTTTCAGTTTTGGTACAAATGTGTTTAGATTTTAGCAAATTAAAGTTGGGGGGAGGGGATACAGAGCATCTGATCAATTTGTATTTATTTATTTTAACATTTTACTAAATAAAACACAGTAAAATCTCTTGTCTCCTTAGCTGTATGTACCAGGTGGGGACAGCGGGTCCCACAGGCACAGGGCATGGTGTAGTGCCCATAGCAAATCCCCAGCCTCAAGAGGGGTTTCTGAGCATGGCTCTGTGTGGCGGCTGTGGCACGCTCCGCTTTCTTGGCAAGGAGAAGGACACTGTGTTAGGAGAAATGAATTTTAGGTCCAAAAGGGGCTGCGCTCAGTTCAGATAATTTCACGGTTCTGACTCAGTGGGTGCCTCCCAGCTGATGCTGCCCGGCAGAGGGCACATGGAGACCAACTTGAGCTGGGGTTACTTCCAAATACCTCTACCCTCTTAGGCACATTTTGGGCTGACTGTATAGATTAATTTTCAGATGGTCCTTCCCAACCTATTCATTCACTCAAATCTTCATTTGCGAAGCCTAGCCATGAGTGTATGAATAGGTTGGGAAGGATTATCTGAAAATTAGGGTGTTCAGCCCTCCTACAGTGCCACCTTCCAAAATAACCGTGGAGTCGGCATTTTTGTTGCCTCACAGCCATCAAAGAATTGCCTGGAAGAGGCCTGCTCCATCCCGGCACTGTTCCACCATGTCTGTAGCAGCATCTAGCTGTGATCAACCCTCTTGTTGATTAGTGCAGCAGCAGCACGGTATGGGTGAGCTTTGGTTATATTAAACAAAAGCTGCCTGCTAGGGACTGGTGGGGTGGAGCTGTGCATGGCTTCACCATGATGAGCAGTCTTCCCAGCCCTTTCCCAAGTAAAGCCTCAACACCTGCTCCTGGCAAACCATCCTCATCTTCCCCCCTGCAGATGCAAGGCTGGTGGCTCATGGGGCCCAAGAGCCAGCTTTTATTCCCAACACTCTTATAAAGCCAAGGCTGTTCAGCAGAGAGCCTCACCCGGTCCCACTGCCTGCATTGTGGCCAGAGGTGGGTGCCTGTCCTCCCTCCTCTGGGTGAGGAAAGGTCCTGCAGATCCTGGCAGAGCATCCAGCTCAGCATGCTGCTCTCGGGGATGAGCTGGAGCACCACCAGATGAAACTACATCCCTTCTACCTGGGGGTGTTTAAACTGACTACATGCCTAAACCGTGAAGCCCCATGATCCAGTTCAGGGGTGCTGGCTGTGCAGGCAGGCTGCCTGGGCCCTGCTGCAGTGCTGGGAACCATCAGACTTGAGCCTAACAACCCTTTCAGAGCTGGCAGGGGACCGGTGCACCTGCCACTTGGTGACACTGGCATTTCTTTTGCCTGCTGCTGCTCCTTGTTCCTTAACCTTCCCACTGTGCCAGTCCAACAGGAAAACATGCCAGGCAGAGCAAGCCCAGTGATGCTTTTCCACAGCCAAGGCTCAGGCTACTCCTCCATTACACTCTTCCTGCTGTCTTCCCTCCAAGGGAAAAAATTAATAACCAGGCAGTTCTAACAAGAATGTGAAAAAGAATAAAAAAGCTTTAATTTAAAAATTAAATTAAAATGAGGAAAAAAGCAAGAGGCGCTTGTGCCCTTTCCATACCCCGTGCTTTGTATGGCTCCTCTTAGTCACTCCCACCATGGACGGAAATCCTCACCCCTGCACAGAGCTAGCTCTAGCTCTTGCAGCCCAGAGCAAAGCTAAGGAGAGAACAGCAGAGGCTGCAGCAGCAACTGGCCTGGAGAGCCTCCAGGGCCATCAGCAAAATCATCTTGGAGGGAAAAAGGATTAAAAAGAAGAACCCCAGACACCCTAATTACTGAATTCTTATGAGAAAAGTATTAAATAATTTAAACAGCGTGAGGAAAGCAATGCATCCTCTGTGCTCCAGTGTGTGATAGTGGTAGAACAGTGTCTGGTCAAGCTGCTCCTGGCACAGGGTTCTTGCCACAGTGCTCAGCTACGGTCTTGTCCAGTGTCAGTCGCATCCCTGATTGTTGATGGCAACGACTGTGCTGCCGGGAGCTGGGGAGGAGCAGGGTGGTCCCTGCCAGAAACTTCTCTCAGCATGCACTGGCCCATGAAGCTGCTGTTTTGCTCCTGGCCATGGTTTGCAGCCCAGCCCTGTGGGGCACTGCCAACACAACACAGGTCTGTTACCACCACGGCTGCTCCCAGACTGGAGGTGCAGGTCTATTCTGGGAGTTCATTCTGGGGACAGCAGACAGCCTGTCCTGCTCTGGGAGCTCATCCTGCTCTGGGTGACTCCAGCACCACCAGTGCAGGGCCAACTCCACTGGAGACTGCATCCATATGGATCGGGAGTAATAATACTTCTCTGCTGTTAACCAGCCAGCCTTGATCTGGGCTTGAACCAGGTCTCCAACAACTCCTGGTACTCCCTGGCTGGAGCTCCCAAGGTGCTTGGAGGCTTCCTCTGAGCCTGCTCCACAAAGGGATGTTCTACAACCTCATCTCTCGCTCACCAAAGCCCCAGAGGAGTATGCAAGGACTGGAACTGGGACCACTGAGCAAGGGCAGAGCAGGGTATGGCACAGCTCCCAGGCCTCTGGAGGAGCCAGGCCTCAAGGTCAAGTGAGCTAGTGAAGACTAAGGAACCCACATCTACTAAAAGAGAGGAGGGAGGAGAGCTGACTCCCTGGCCCCTGGCATAAGGAGGTTCCCCTGTAACTCAAGAAGGCTGTGGTAGCTTGACCTCCAGGCACTACCTGTTCTTGCAGCTGATATCTTCCACCTTATCTGTGGGTATCCCTTTGGTGGGCTGGAGAGGCTGTGCTGCCAACTCCGTTCCCTCAAGCTGGGCTGCGGTGGTGGGCAGGGGCAGGAGGGAGGCCCTGCACCCTCCCAGTGTGCTGCTTGTACCCCGCACCCACTGTCCCCAGGTGTCACAGGCTTCTCTCGGCGGTGAGGTATTTGAGCGCAGCAGCCCCATATCGCCGTGACAGGTCCTGGTGGAACTCCTCCCGCAGCGTTTGGAGGCAGCCCCGGTATCCTGCATTCAGGCGAAACTTGGAAATGTCGAAGCTGGGGGCATGGGGCATGTGGATCATGAAGGCATTGGGCAGGACCAGCAGCTCATACTCCTGAGAGGGGACAGAGCAACAGCATCAGCTTGGTGGTACCAACATGTCACTGCCTGGCCAAGAGCCCCCACACCCAGTGCCTCTGTGGCGCCAGGAGCAGCCGCTCACCCACCTGCGCATCCAGCTCCATGATGTGGGATACTTTGTTCCAGCCGAAGCCCACGAACCTCTGGTCATACCTGGGGCAATCTCGCCTCACTACAACGTAAGGCTCGAAGTCTGGCTGCCACACCACACGGTACGGCACAGTGGCCGTCCGCCACTTGGCATAGTCTGTTGGGGCATGGCCTTTTGGCCACACATGGTACCTGCGGGGAGAGATGGAAACGAGACACTGGGCAAAGCTGGCAGCTCCCTGAGACAGGAGGAGGATGCAGGGGGTCCTCTGAGACAGGGGGTGCACAGTCCCAAGGCACAAGGGTACAGAACTGGCTTCTGCCAGCCCCCCTTGGATAGTGGAGCAGTTCCAGTCCCTACCTGAAGGTGTAGAGGGAGCCCATGTCCAGCATGGAGAGCAGCTCTGCTTTGGATTTGGGGAAGGTCAGGCGGTAGTGCAGGGTCTCAAACGCCGGCACAATGAGAGCTGCCTTCCTCTGGGGCAGCTCCAGCTGCTGGATGGAGTTCCTATGGTGATAGGAAGGGTATGAGGTCTCCCTGGCTGCAAGCCATGGCCACGGCCCCCTTCTTCAGCCCCTCCAGCCTGCATACCACTCCAGAAGGATATTAATGTCTGGACAATTTGCAGTGGTACCATGCAGAGGTAGGAGGAATGGGGCAATGCTCACAGCCACAGCCCCTTCCTCATTGACTGGGTGGATCCTTGTTCCTCTGACAAAAGCAAGGGCAGGATCCTGAGGCTGAACACAAAGGGAACAGCTCCCAGGCCTGCTGTTGAGGACTGCTGCCTAGGGCTTTTCCTGAAAACTCTGGTGTCTGGGGAGCCCTGCAGGTTGAGCTAGAGTGGGCTGGAGAAAGCCTTACCTGAGGTAATCGTAGAGGCCATACATAGGCAGGAAGTCAATGTCCGTCAGAAAGACGTATGGCGTCTGCGTGTTGGCCAAGGCCACGTTTCGCAGGAGGTTGATGGGGTAGAACTGCCCCTCCTTGTAGACAATGTGGTAGGCGACATTGCGGCGGGCGCTCAGCACCTCCGAGGCCTGGGCGTAGCGCAGGAACTGCTGAGCCTCAGCATCTGACATGTACAGTGCCAGGCTGATGGGGCCCGCCCAGTGTTTGCAGATGGCCTCCAGCATCTGTAACCTGGGAAGCAGAGGGCAGTGCATGAGCAGCAGACCTGCTCTGTGGCAGCTTCGCCAAACCCAGAACGGGGCACCTGCCAGAGAGCTGCATGCCAGTCGAGCCCAGTTCAGGAGGAACTGATGCTCCCAGCTTGGAGTGCTGTTCTTCACTGCAAAATGCTGGTGTGAGGATAATGAGATGAGAATCCCTTGTAGCTCCAAAGCTGTGGAGCCTCAATGGAGGAGTGGAGGTGGGATCCACCCTCCCACTGGTCCTACCAGGAAGTACCTGTCCATGGAGAGCTGGGCCACGAGGGTGACATCGGTAGGGTTGGGAAATGCCAAGAACTCGTACTGCAGGAAGAACAGGTGGATGCGGTGCTGCGTGAGGTGCTGCTGGCGGAAATCATAGCAGGGATCATCCTCATCCAACTCCTCCAGTGCCTGCTGTAGCTGCAACACCATGAAGGTGAAAGAGAGCAAGAGCCCCAGAGGGAGCTGGGGAGGCTGTGTGTGGTCTCTGCCCACCCCATGCTCTGGGGCTGGGGGCAGTCGCAATCACCCTCACCTGGTCCCTGGGTGGGCTGGGAAGATTGGCACAGCCAAAAAGCTCCCTGCGCAGCAGGTTCCCATCATACTCCAGGAAGGTCAGGTAGAGGTTACGGAAGAACTCCACATGCTTGTTCTTCACCCGCAGCTTCTTGGGTGAGTTCCAGTGGATCACCTGGGCAGTAGCGTGTCACCCCGTGGAAGGGAAGCCAGCAGCACCCAGTGCTCCCCAAGCCCTCAGACCCCATGCTGACTCCCATGGACCTCCAGTGTCCTTCAGGCCCTTTACAGTTTCAAAGGCAGCAAACCCACCCACCTTGAGATCTGAAAGCTCAGTGTAGCACTGCTCCGAGCGGGTGTGATCTGAGAGCTGCACATTCCAGAAGCAGGGAAGCCGGTACACTAGGGATGGGTTCTGCTTGATCACCGCATTAAAGATGTCCTAGGAGAGAGAAAGGTAAGTGCACAAGTGGAAGAGGAAGACCCCCCATGCCAGCAGTGCTGTGGGAATGCAGAAGGGCTGACCACCCCAGAGGAGGGACCATTACCTGATCGGCCAGCGAGGTGGAGAGCATGCCCATGAGCTCCCGCTCTGCCGTCAGCCGCCACATCTGCTCCCAGCCCAGGTGACGCAGACGGTCCAGCAGGAGCAGGATCACCCCTGAGTGCCAGAGAAGAGGGCACTGGGTCACTGAGGGACCACCCAGCCATTACAGAGCTGGAGCACAGCAGCCTGCATTCCTTCATCCTCTGGGATATACCGCTTCTCTGCACCCACCCACACTACCCTGGGATGCTGTAACAGCCCCTTCATTCCCATCAGACCCTCCTGCTTCACCTCAGCCTTTCCCAGCCTCCCTGTGCTGAGTGTTGCCTCAGCTGGATGTGCCATGAGGCTGCAGGGCCCACCCTGGCAGCCCACACTCACCTGTGTTGAAGCCACGTCCCAGGGCCGGCCATGGTTTGTGGTTTTTCCACAGATTGCCCAAATACCAGTCACTTTGGTTCTCCACCAGCCCAATCACCTGCTTTTCTGAGGAAACAGAGGGCCATGGATGCAGCTCATCTTGTTATTGGTTCAGAGGGCCCAAGCAAACACACTGCACTGGTTCTGTGGCAGGTGGGGACTGCCACCCTGAGCCCAGCACCCAGGCCCCTGCCAGGGCCCCAGAGGCACCCTGTCCTCACCAGAAAACTTCCCAAAGACAGCCCAGAGCTCGGCAATGTCAGTAGCAAAGGTGATGTCAGTGTCCAAGACGATGACCTTGGAAAGGTTGGAGGGCAGCGCCTTGGTAAGCGTCAGCTTCATCAGCCCATAGATGCCAGAGTAGTGCTTGTTGGGGATCCACGACACCTCTGGCTGCAAGGCAACACAGCTCAGGGCTGAGCACAGCCAAGCCCTTCCCCTGCCTGGGCAGGACAGCTCTGTGTGCCCAGTACCCCATGCAGAGAAGGCCAGCAACAGAAGGGCATTACATTGCTGTGGAGCCAGCCAAGCCTGGGGCATTCCCTTCAGCCACCAGAATGCCCACCTGGACCCCAGTGTTTCAGTGCTCAGTGGGGGACTCAGCTCTGCCACAGAGGCAGTGCTACCCCAAGGGGCCTCCTCACCCCTCCAGTACCAGCCCTGTGCCCCTTTCTCAGCTGCACCAGCAACAAGCCCAGAAAGGGGAGGGGGTGAGCGAGGGACCAGCAAGAAAAAGTTAATGAACCTCCATCTACTCTCCCCTCTTTGTTACTCCCCTCAACCCTCTGAACACTGGCTTGGGACAGGGCAAAGAGAAGGGCAAGAACCTGCCTTCAAGTCATCGGCATTGTAGAAGCTGACGTGTACAGAAGGCACCATCCAGGACTGGAAGAGTGTCTGGAGGATCTGGTGGGCCACAGAGTCCGTGATGAAGTGAAAGTGGAGGGGGTTCTTCCTGCCAAGGATAAAAACAGCAGCACTCAGCACCACAGAGGGATGAGTCCCCATCACTCCCATCCCTCCCAAGGGACAGACATCAGCTGGAGGGGGGCAAATGGAGAAAAATCAGCCCTCTGGGAGAAACAAATCCCTCTCTGTCCCTCTAAGCAGTGGCACAGGGGCTAGAGAGGAGCCCTAGCCCCTCTCCCGCAGCATTGCCCCCTGCAGCCTGCAGTAGCTCATCTGGGAACCCCAAATAGTGGGCCTCTGGCACAGCACTTCCCCATTACCTGTGGAAGAGGATGGATTTGACCAGGGTGACCACGTCCCGGCTCGCGTTGTGCCCAGCACACACAATCGCAACATGCAGGAGCTGCCCAGAGACAAATGGTACCTTTTTGAGACTGGACACTCCCTCCTTTCAGGGACTGTCAGCTCCTCCCTGGGACCACACCACAGGGAGAGACTCCATAACCCAGCACATCCCCTATGGAAGGAGCCCCAGAGAGAGGCAGGAGTTCCCCAGTTCAGAAACAGGGACCAAGAGTCTGGCTGCCACTCTGCCTGTCTGCCCTCCCTCTTTGGAGAAGGAAGATGCCCTCACCCATGGACTGTGGCTCACTGAGCACCATGGAGAGCCAGGATGAGGCCCCAGCATGGCCAGAGCATAGGGAGAGCAGTGCCAGGTGGGCTGCACATACATCCATGCTCCACCAGGGTCCCAGCCTCCCATCCCACAATATCACCATGCCAGTGCCATCACCCACCTCACATTTGTGCACTGTCTGCTGCTTGGGGCAGGCTGTATGATTGCTCCTCTCACCCCTGGGGAAATCTCCATCCTCGGCAGAGGGTCCCCACTGTGGGCTGCCATCGCTGCCCTCCATCTGAGCCTGGCTGAGCTGCAGGCGGAGCTGCTGATTCTCCTCCTCCACCCTGCGCACTCGTGAGGCCAGAGCCTCCCGTTCCACATCCCGGCTTGGCTGCTCGCCCAGGCAGGGTGGCAGCAGAAGGAAGCGGCCATCTGTGGAAGAGACACAGGTTATGTGACGGGCATGGCAAGGCCAGGAGGGCCCAGTGTGGATGGTACCAGCTGAGAGCTCCCAGCACACATCACAAGTGCCCAGCCAACATCACAGCTCTGCTTCCCTGATCCCTACAGATGTCCCTGGAGATGCCCCCAGGTCAGGTAGACCTGCAGTGACTTGCAGGCCCACAGAGCACCCACCCTAAGGCCTCATCCCCTGCTGCCCACCTCCTGTTGCACTTTCCCTTGATCCAAGGAGGAAGAGAAGGACCCACTCACATTCAAGGCTGCCCACAAAGAGGTAGAGCCAGGAGAGGAGGATGGCCAGGGTCACTGTGGCGAGCAGCAGCTTCAGCTTCGTGCGCCAGGAGCGCAACATGGTGTGCCAGCAGGACACAGGTGGCAAGGATCAGGTGGGCAACCCGAGCCTGGCTGGCCCCAGCATCCTAGAGCCTGAGGGGCAGGGAAGCAGAGAGAGGTGTCACCAGCAGCCTGCAACCAGGTGTCTCGACATTCCCCCAGCAGGACATCCCCCATTGCCTGCTCCCTCCAGGACAGCACCTGGACAAGTGCAGCGGCAAGACAGGTGCCCGTCAACACTCCAGACACAGCTTCTCCCAGCTGGCACCTTCCTGCCCTGTGCTGGGGCATTTGCCCCCCCAGGACTTGTCCTGCCACCCTACCAGGGGAGATCTCAAACATGGAGGGGGGTGGGGGTAGGAAGGAGGTCTCCAAGCCATTTCAGCCCAGCTGTGTGCCTTGCTCCCTGCCATCTCACAGGCCAAGGCTCCCAAGGGAGGGGAGAAGCAATCCTACGAGGCCTCCCCGAGCCGGGCGGTTCACGGAGCCTGCCCGTGGGAGGGAGCGCGGTCCCTCCCCCGCCGCCCGGGCAGGCCGAGGGACTGGGGCTGCTCCGGGCAGACGGCCTCAAGGACGCGGCGCGGGGCCGGTCGGGGCCCGGGGAACTCCCGCACCCAACACCGCCGCCCACTTCGGTGGCAAAGCCCGAAACGCTTCGGTGAAACTCGTTCCCCGGCCCCGTTGGGGCACGGGGCGGCCGGAGCAGCCCCCTCGCCCTGCCGGCGGGACGCTCCTCCCGCTCGTGGCTCGGGACCGGCGGAGAGCCCTGCCCCGAGACCCTCGGAGCCAGGTACTCGGGCCGGCAGAGACCCCAGGGGCAGGGCCACCCACCTCCCCCCGCAGCCTGGCCTCGCTCTGCCCCCCTGCCCGCAGCTCCATAACGAGACCCTGCCCTCGGCCAGCAACATCTGGAGGCTCAACAAAAGCTGCTGTCGGGATGAATAGGCCGGATTAGGGTCTGCTCCCCCTGCACACACCCCCGCTGAAGTCCATTGATGTGCAGATGCCCCTGGGGCCTCGGGGCCTCGAGCAGGCGGCTTGG